AATTAAACTGTATTTCAACGAGACCTTTAATTATGCCATTATGGGCAAACATGTGTGTGGCGCTTTACCTAATTTGGAAGGTCTGAAACAATGCAGCGATTTATCTCTGCGCCTTATGACGCTGCTTTAGAAGATATTACGTAGATCTGAGGAAACCACGAAGAACTTGAATCGAATGGGTAACATGATCTTCTGGTGTGTGTTGATATGTTAATTTAATGGGCGAAAACTTACATACAAGAAAGAGAAACACAAAATGTTCTGAAGAAAGCAGTCTTCTGGGATTTGGCACCGTGTATATGTGGTGTTAACCGACGTTTCGGAGGAACGTATCGCCTCCATCTTCAGGGTAGAAAAAATATAAGAAATCTGCAAGCGAAGAGACCGTGAGAACCGGTAAAAGCAGACAGTGCACAGTCTTCATAGTCACCGCCGTGAAAGCCTCAAATCTTACACAAAATGTTCTGCTTGACGCTACTAACGATGTTAGTCAGGAAATAAACACAGGGAACGTATACATTCATATCTCGTCACCACAATGAAGGGGAAACAATAAAAACTAACAAACTTTCTGAAAATGTGACAACGTTCAAACATTTCGGAATGACCATAGAGAGTAAATATTACATTCATGTGGAAACTGAGGGCAGATTACTTCGAGGTACGACCTCTACTATTCATTCATTCGCGTATGAACATACCGATTAAAATATACAAAAGTGCAACTCTTGCAACTGTTGTGCCTGTGCGTGCTCACACTAAAGAGAAAGTATAGACAGAGAGTGTTTCAGAACAGGATGCTGAGAATATCTGAATCTTAGAAAGAAGAAGTGCAAGGCGGAGGCAGACGTATGGAAAATTAAGAACTTCATAATTCGCACTTTTCATCAAATAGTATTAGCATTATCAAACAAAGAAAGATGAGTATGGCATGCAAGACGTTTCGGGGAGATGAGCAATATGGACTAAACTGTAGCAGGAAACCTTGAGGGAAGAGACCGCTTTGAATACCTAGGCATAGATGGGACGATATGTTAAACTTGGGAGATATGAGTTCCTTCCGCCCTGATGATCTGACCAACACGGTCCTCCGAAAAGTTATAACCTATCCAGAACCGACAATGCGTCACATCCCACAATACAGAAACGTTTACATTGAAATTGACCGCAGAGATAGATATGTACTTTGTGAAGGCGTGGACTTAAGTCACTTGGATCAGGTTAAGGTCCAGTAGCAGTTTCTTGTTACTGCCTATGTGCCGTTTATTTTAACAAACCTCTAAACTTTACTCTTTCCGTTAAATAATTTATTTCTGAATTATATTCGTCTTTCCAGAATAAGAAATGGCTTTCTCTGGATTTACACATGCTCGTATAAAATATGATCCCTGTACCGAAATTTTCAATTTCCTTCTTTTTAATGGGCGTTTCTCTGGTTCATTACGTAACAGGCAATCCAAAGGTCAAGAATGGTACACCTAAGCCTGACCTCCACCGGACGTATGCGTGGCGTAATGCTTAATCAATTGAGCAATAAGGAAAAGTACTGTACTACTGACATACGCCTAGACGCAGAAATGCTACAACTGTCTTACACAAAACTTCAATTGCAGTTTGTTACGATATTATATCAGTTCAGCTGCGAGAAACTGCAAGACACTTCCTGCATGTGGATCGCCTTTACCTTTGAACAGATTATCTGATATTGGATGGTTCGCTTTCCTACTTATTATTCCTGAGGTCATGCCCCGCACAACTATTCTGATTGTCAGTTTAAGTGTTTCCTTCGTCGCTCCAGGCAAATGCTGGGGCTATGCCACAATGTAGTCCATGACTGTTTCCCCTCACGTGCGTTCCATTTCACTGTTCCCTAACCACCCTATAATTCGTCGCTATACAAACTGAGGTACAGAATACTTTGTTCCGTAAACTAATACGGCATTTACAAAACATGAATAATAATAACAACAACAACAACAACACTAATAATAATAAGAGTTGGAATAAATCTCACAACTACGTCAGCTACTCTGAACGTAAAGGGCGAGACTAATTCAATGGCTGTCAAAATCTTTACACAGTAAAGACTGTCTCCGATATTCAACATGAAAATGAAGTATTTATGATTTGCATGCTGCAGTAACTGTGATCTCTTGTCCCTTCTGGGGCTGAAAGATTAATAAAAAATATGTAATTCTCAATTTCATGTTGGGATACTCCCACACAGCACCACCACACAGTGAGGATTCAAACGTCATCTAGTGAGCGGCGTATCTGTCATAGAATGTTGCATAAAATCTACTATATTCAAGGACGATCCGTTCGACTAAATCTTGTGCAGGAAATGGAAACTGCAGTTCCTCCTTTGCCTGTTATAACAAAAGACACACCAATGCCACACAAAGCTGCAGCAGACACAATGGCTCCACACAATGGAACCAAATAAAAAGTTCAGGGGAGTTCAGCCGTTACCTACTGTAACTGGAGGTCATATTAAGGCCTTTTATCATACTTATGGAACCACCACCAATCCCGTCACTTTTCTACTGGCCACTTGTCAACCGCCATACGACGAAACCGCTGTCAGCAACAAAACTGCTTCCACTTCAAAGAGTGAACAATTACATGAAATGTTATTAGCAGCGACGGGCAGACCACGGTGACTCTGTCAGAAGAAGGCCTAATACAACACAAGGCCGCAAACCATGGAACCAGACCCGAAGTATTAGTAATTGGCAAAGTATAAACTAATTCATAATCACTGAGCACAAATTTACATTTAACTTCATGGTCTATGTGAATCTAGCAGATTCTTCAATATCTGCCAGCAGAAAAAGGTCAACAGAACAAGCTGCTTTAGGCAGTAACGAACGCTTCTGGCTTGTACAGGAGATGGACAAAAATATGGAAACACCTCGTGAAATGTATGCCCGAATTGAAGTGCTTATTCTAGCGACGTTTGTAGGTGACGCTGTCTTATCTGCGCAATAGCACTACCTGTGCAACCTCCGCAATACGTTGCAAACTTCATTTGTTGTCGAGACAGTGTCCTGTGCACTTTTTAGTGCATCACGTCAGAGCTAAGAGAACTCGAACGCGGGCAAATTGTTGGGGCCCATATGGTGGGTGCTTCCGTAACCAAGGTAGCGAAGGTTTTGGTGTTTCGCGAGGCACAGTATCCAAGATTATGACCTCATACAGGAGGACTGGAAAAACCGCATCCGATAAACACCAGCGTGGACGGCAATGTGTGTTTAGTGATCAAGACAGACGAACATTGCGTAGGATTGTGACGAAAAATAAGAAGACTACAGCTGCAAAAGTGACTACTGAACTGAATGTCATGCTCACAAACCCTGTCAGCACCAAAACAGTACGAAGGGAACTCCACAAGCAGGGTATTTCTGGACGAGCTGCAATTCCAAAGCCACTCATCAGTGATCAAAATGCCACTAAGAGGACGGTGTGGTGCCGAAGTCATAAAACCTGGCCTGTGGAGCAATGGAAGACGGTCATTTGGTCGGATGAGTCCACCTTCACACTGTTTCCGGCTTCTGGCCGAGTTTACGTCTGGAGAACGCCATCCCATGCTTACGATCCAGATTGTTTGCTGCCAAGAGTGACACATGGCTAGGGTTTGATCATGGCATGGCCAGCCATATCGTGGTATTCTGTCGGACCCATCATTACCCTGCAAGGTCACGTCACTGCCAACGACTATGTGACCATTTTGGGCGACCAGGTCCATCCCATGGTGCAAACTTTGTTCCCCAATGGTGATGCCATTTACCAAGACGACAGTGCCCGTGTTCACACAGCTCACATCGTCCAGGACTGGTTTTCTGAGCACGAAGATGAAAGTGTCACGTCTGCCATGGCCCCCACAATCGCCAGATATCAATATTATTGAGCCTCTGTGGTCTGTTTTTGAAAGCAATCTGCGTGCGCGCTACCCACCTCCATCATCGTTAACAGAACTTGCCAATGTTTTGCAGGAAGAATGGTACAAGATTCCCTTGCAAATCATACAGGACCTCTATTTATCCACTCCAAGGAGACTGCAAGCCTGAGGTTGTCCTACTCCATATTAGTCACGGTAATGTGTTTTTTGTTGGGTGTTTCCATATTTTTGTCCATCCCCTGTACTAGGGAGTTCCTCGGTTGGAATCTCCACCGGAATATCGCCTATCCTGAGGGGCTTCGTGGTTTTCCTCAATTCCGTGGTTGCAGGTTGAAGTGACTCACACTTCCTTCCACATCCTTCACAACTCATCGCTCATTAATCTTCCTACCATTCGACGCCATACAGTCTAAGCTACAATCAGAGCCAAACTAGGCACTGACCTCAATATAGTTGTGTTGTGACGGTTTTAATAAATAAATTACACAGTCAGAGCCCTTACATACACCATAAATAAGTATGATATTAAGAACGAAAAACACAAAAATAATATTTGTGGAATACAAGTGCTGCTGCCAGTATTACAATGTACGCGACAGCTCAGTCAATATAACGACTACGTTAGGAGCTGGAAGACCCAAGGTGTCAGTGTTCGAGTCCTTGTAGAAGCAAGAGACCTTTCTCTTCTCCATATCGTCCAGACTGACTCTGGGGCCCTTCCAGCATCCTATACAATTGGTACCACGGGTTGTTTACTTCGGGTAAAGCGGTCAGGGCGTTACGCTGGCCACTCAGTTTCATCTTGTGCCGAGGTTAAGAATGGTGGCGATACATCTCCATGGCTTGGCGCCTAACTAATTAAACCTAAGGAGAACTTTACTTTTACCCAAATGACTCAGATATTATTCTGTATGTAATAGTACGATATATCGCAAATCCTACTCATGGACAGAACTGTCCATTTCTGGGTAATATTCAGCGTTAATCATCTGCACGGGGGCGGCAAAATGACATACAGGCGTGTCTAGTCTACAGCTGATCTGAAAGAGTTAAATGTCACATATGCCAAGAAATATTAGCTAGCCACAAATGTACTTACAAGACTGGGCCGTGACTTGTGAATCTTCGCTGGTCAGTATGCCCCTTGGAATTGCCTTATTCTTGATGAGGCATTTGACAGCCAACCTCCACTTTTGAGCTTCCCTCATGTTGTCATCGTATTTGTCAAATGATCGAAACCTCAACGTGATTGTCATCCGTTCTCGTTTCTGGCCCGATTTGACTCTATTTTTTTTAAGAACGTACGCGTATATATATAGATAGGCACTGATGTCCTTCTCATCTTGCTCGCTAGAGTTTTCATCTACAACTCTTAAATTATTTCTTCTAATAGCATTTGGATGACATGCACAAGATCCAGCTGATCTCCGTTTGCTTCTCAAGCACCGACAGCCGACGATGTCATTAATCCTAATAATTTCTATTTTTGTACTACCATTACTTTCCTTTTGCAGACTGAGTCCTTTCTCTGTTAATTTGACTCGATACACAGTGTTCTTCTTCGAGAGAATGTAAAACGTTTCTTCTAACACCGGAGCACCGTGCACACTAACATCATCCATCTTCCCAATACCAAACCGAACTAAACAAACAGCAGTGCACAGCAGAAATTGTCGTAATCAGTGACATCAGAGATGCGCGGACGTCACATACTTCGATTCATGAGAATCGACTGCCCTGATTTTGCAACATGTCAATTGTAACAGTGCTCTGGCCATAGTTCCTCACTTATTCGCCATCTACTGGGAGAATAAGAAACTGTTAGAGTGAGCTGCTGAGGCCAGGTGGTGGCAATTGTATAACATAAATGGGAGAAAGTGCAGTCAACGCGGCATACCACTACTGTCATCTACATTCGTATACAAAACTGGTCGCTCATCTGTACCCATCGTTATATAGCTGTATCAGGCCCCTATGGTTGTGGGACGTCGAGGCTCCCACATTTTCCAGACAATCGGATCACAGTTGATGGTAAAGTTGCCAGCCTTACACGCCGACCGCCCTTTGCCCCCCACCCAAGNACACCCATACAAAACCACAGCAAAATGATGTGTCGCGTGTTACCTGTGTAACGCGACAATACATTTATCATTTTGCTGTGGTTTTGTATGGGTGTGAAACTTTGACTGAAGAGGGATGAAAGAATAGGAGGTTGGAAGACAACTGCACAATAAGGAGCTTCATAACCTATACTCTTCTTACTTACTTACTCGTGGAGCTGCCAATTCTGCAGCTACTCAAGAATTTACCATCATTTTATGGAACCCGAAGGTTCATCACCGTGTTCACAAGAGCCCTCTGCTGGTCCCTATCCTGAGCCAACCTATACTCTTCACCAAATATAACTGGAATGTCAAGGAGGATGAGATGAGCAGGATATGTGGCATGCATGGGGGAGAAGAGGAATGCAGACAGGGTTTTGGGCAAAAAAGCCAGGAGACCACTATGAAGACTTGGATGTAGGTGCGAGGATAATATTAAAATGAACCTTAGATAAACAGGATTGGGTGGGATTGGATTAATCTGGCCCAGGATAAGGACCAGTGACAGCACCTTCTGAACAAGCACTGGAAATTTAGGTTCCATAAAATGTTGAGATATTGTGTTGCTGAGCAACTGGTGGCTTCTAGGGGACTGAGTTCCACGAGTTGTATCTCATTCTGAGAGCTTTACAAATTCTTTTTGTTTAATATCAAATTATTCACTTGTGGATTTTTTTTTCAAATTTTCATCACTACTCTGTTTTTCCCATGTACTAAACACGTGATAAGTGTGAATAAAATACTCTGAAGGCAGTAGCCACCCTCAACATATATTAAGCAGCATATGACAGTATCGAATATACTACTGGAGCGACACTATGAAATTCTGCATGAAGGCAGATTCTGGCAAATTATAAAATATTGTTTATGTCAACAATTACAAACACAGCAAGATCGGTAGTCTTTGAAACATGTCAAATATAATACTGCTACAATCAGCAGCTAAGAAGAAACATGTCCAAAGCATTCAGTCCTATGGGAAGGCCAGCATGCTGACTTACAAACTATGTTACACATTCTCGAGTTATAATCTTTCATTACAGAGGATTTTTAGGATTGGAAGTCTGTGTAAGAGGAAAAGAGAGTCTGTAAGTTCTTTTTTATTGTTTTTTACTGTTCTACAGTGAAGGATGCAAACAGCAAAAGAAATGCAGGTTCAGTTTTCAAAACAGTTACGTTACTTCTTATAACCACAGCTGCGCCTACGTCCTCGAGCTCGTTCAAATTTACGTCCTTTGGACCGCACATACGGCTTTGTGTGGCTGTGTGGTACACCAGGAGCAAGCCCAAAGTGTTTTACAGCTTCTCTGGCATTGCGACGTCCTGTAAACAAATGACGTGTATTCTCTTCATTTTGAAATGTTTTAAAATTACTGCAGTAATCTTATCACTTTGAAATTCTATGTTGTCAGCAACACAGCACACAGTCTAGATTTTATTAAATTCAAGGGTGGGTCACCTGTCATTGGCCTTCTACCGGACATTTAAAGGCCTGGTCAAATGATATAGAATTTTATTTTTTTATTATTATTATTCTTAGTGTGGTGAGACAGTCCACTTGGTGCTGCTGATACTTCTGTAGGAAACACTGTAACTTCCTTTGAAGTATTTGCTTTTCAGGGTGGTATATCGTTATGTGATGTGAAGAAATGTTTATATCATGCTTAGTGCATAAAATTGTTCAAGGACCTCAATTAGTGCCTTCAAATATCTGCAGGGGCAGGGAAGGAATTTTAGGTTTAGTCTGTATTTTTCATACCTTGAATGAGCACAGTCTTTTTCCCTGTTGGTGCTTTGAGTGCAAGTTGATCAAAGGTGATAATCTCGCCACCTGCCTTCAGGATACGTGCTCGTGCCCTCTCAGTAACTCTAAGGGCACATACCTACATAAAAATAAGTGTGTCAATTAGAAATACAGTGGAACCTTGCTTAATGAGCACCTCTCATAACGAGTAATTCACACGAGCAAAACAAATTGAAAAAAAAAAAAAAAGGACTCACTTAATGAGCGACGTTTTGCATAACGGGTGATGAGAGGAGAAGTCCCAGATTGTGCACTTGCTACATAAGTCTGTGTTTAGCACTCGTTCTGCTAGCATTTTAGTGTCACTTGTGATCACATATTTTTCCAAACTTGTGTTCAGACATTTGTGATTTTTTTGTGCAAAGTTTAATAACCCTTACAAAAATGTCCCCGAAGAAAAAGCCGCAAAAAGACAGCCATAAGAGAATAAAAATAACCGTAGAAATGAAACGTAAAATCACTTAAAAGCAAGAACGAGGTGTGAGCATGGCTGATCTAGCACGCACATACAATTGGTCTGTATCAACGATTTGGAGTTGCATTGTGTTTCACAGCAAGATGTTGTGGAGGAGAGTTTGTCAGAGAAGGAGGAGGAGGTAACAGCAAAGCAACAATCTTCTGGCGCAATAAGAGAAATGCTGAAAGCATGGGAAACTGTTGCATCGTACAGTGAGAAGCATCACCCTAATAAGGCAGTGGCTATGTGCGCTACAAATTTATTTAATGATAATGCCGTGTCGCATTTTCGCTAAATTTTGAAGTGTCAGCAAAGCAAATGTCTCTAGACAGCTTTCTAGCAAAAAAGAATTAGATATGTATCATAAATAACAAACTAATTATTTTGATCATTTTTTTCTGCAAATCAAATTCGCATTCCAGGTTGGTTCATTCCGCATAGAAGAAAAGATGAAGATGATTCACACTCCTTAACAATGTATATATAATTTTCTTTGAATAAACATTATACATACAATTTTTTGAGTATTTTTTCAGCATGGAACATATTATCGTATTTTACATTAGTTTATATGGGAAAAATTGTTTCGCTTAATGAGTGTTACGCATTACGAGTTAAGATTGTGGAACAAATTATGCTCGTTAAGCGAGGTTCCACTGCACATAGAACGTGCTCATGTAATTTTCACCAAATTTGTTTGCTGCAAGGCATTCACCATGGTTGGCAACATATGAACTGCATACCAATCACAAAGCAATCAGAACCTGCTGAAAACATATTAGTCATATCTCTCTGACCAGGTCTGAACCATTTTCAACAGGACACATTCGTAACTACCAAAAAGCATTTCATTTCTCTCCCCCTCCCATTAAGAATGGGCAGGAAGAAAAATAAAACAGTAAATAAGAACATTTCTACAATGACCAAGTTTTTGGACATTATCAACCTTTTTTATTTAAAACAACATTTTGAAGACTCAATTCTGTCTCCCATTTTCAGGTAAAAGTCTACTCAGTTGGGCCCAATTGATATAGCTAGTCCCTTTGTCCAGACCTAACTTTAGATCTTAGTGACATTCTTCCATACTTATTAAATGCAATATAAAGGTCTGACCTCAGGTCCCATCTCAAAGCTGACAATATCCTGAATTACTGTGAACATGCTGACATAATATTTGTGTGTACAGGATGACTGAAACATGACCCTTTCACAATTAAGAATGTCCCTCCCTGGGTCGTTATAAATAACCAAATGAGAAAAGCATAATGGAGGTCTGTTCCAAAGATAAAACTCCCATGCCATAGCTTCTACTGGCTGATCTGAATTAAAGCTGCATGTATTCCTGTGGTTACATATGGGTGTGAAACTTGGTCTCGTGACATTAAGGGAGAAACGTATGTAGACTGAGGGTGTTGAGAATATTTGGACCGAAGAGAGATGAAGTGAAAGGAGGTTGGAGAAAACTGCATGAGTATAATTAGAATGATCAAGTCAAGGAGGATGAGGTGGGCAGGGCATGTAGCATGAATTGAGAAGAGGAATGCATATAGGATATTGGTGGGAAAGCCAGAAGGAAAGAGACCACTGGAAAGACCAAGGCATAGGTGGGTGGAAAATAGAGATATGGGATGGGATGGATTGGATTGATCTGGCTCAGGATATGGAACAGTGAAGGGCTCTTGTGAACATGGTAATGAAGCTTCAGGTTCCATAAAATCTATTCCAGCAATGTGCTACTGTCACCCTTGGTCACATGGAACCGTGGGTATGTTGCCACCACAACTGCATGATGCACCACACTGGTAAATATATTAGTCTGCAGAACATTACAGGAGATCAATAAGTAAATCTGTGTATACCAAGTAGGAAGGTACTCACAGTTAGCTTAGGGACTTCAAAAATTCTCTGATCATCAGTGACAGTGCCAACAATAACTGCTATTAGTTTTTCACGGGAAGGATCCTTCATTAAGCGTACCACTCTTGCTAGTGATATGGGAGGTCTGTTGATCTTGGACATAAACAGCCTCTTCAATATTATCTTGTTGAACTTGGATTTTGTCCTTCTGGTCAGGAAACGATACAGCTGAAAGCAAAAATCAAATAATGCACTTACTGTGAACAGACAATCCGACTAGTCATAGCATATTCACTTTATGCAGGAATTGTGCTGTACAGACTTTGTCACATGATGTGATACTGCCAGTGGTTCCTAAATTTCATACATAACACAATCCTATATAATGCATCTATTGTGAAAAAGTTTGCTCTCTTATTATGGCTATATTAATTCACAAAACAGCACAGTTCAAGGTGCAGAGAACCCCCATCAATTCCTAAAACTGCACTATGTGGTCAGAAAATAGGCATCTGGTGTGCAATGTCACACAAAAAATAGTTGGTCTCCTATTTCTTTTAACAAATGTAACAGGAAGAGTTTGTTGTGATACTCTGATAGTTTGTTGCCTTACTAAAAAACAATGAAAGGGACCGCTGGTTCTAACCGATGCCCACAATGCGCACCAACAAAAATGCTGGAAGAGTTTCTTGATAGCCAAATAACTTCCAAAGAACTCTGGCTTCCCATATCACTCACATTTGATGCCCTTGGATTTTTACCTGTGACAATCAAAGAATAATAAAATCAACTAAATTACACACTAAAGAAGCTATGCTTCATAAAATGGTGCAGAATATGATAACTCAGGTAGAACACTACAGAGAGGAGGAAGAACATCAATTCTAACATTTACTATAGTCTCTTTTGTGCTCTAAGCCTTTCTGAGGGATTAACAAGTTCTTGTCTCTTTTTTACAAAGAAATATTTAATAAGCTGGGCTGCGATTTAAGATACACACTGTACTATGAAATGTAATGGAAAGATCATACCTGGTTAATAAGTTAAGAATTTCAAAATGACATCATAGCACATTTTAACACTCTGCGGACCGGACGCCTAGGCCTAGGCGTTTGGGTTTTAAGCGTGACAGACCGGTCACCTAGATTTAGGCTTTTAGTACACGTTATGTTGCAACACACTATTCCTCGCTTTGGTGGCCACGTGTCTGTAAATGTACTGCGTAGCTGACCTTCGGAATGTTTGTTTTCCGAGTCAGCAACATGACCACTCTCTATTCCCCTCTCACTATAAACAAAAGTCCCTCTGTTCAAGTCGAAGCTTCTATGTGTGAGGCAAGATATTCTCAGTGTCAACATGGCTCAGAGACGAAAGCAGTTGAAGGCCGCGCGAGCTCTTGGAGAAGAAGAAATCTGTGATTTGATCTCCGATGAGTTATCTGACTTGCCAACTGCTTCGTCTTCTGATGGCAAGGGCAGTGTCAGTGGCAGTGACAGGGGCCCCCAAAATATTGTGACCAGAAGAGAAAGTGAAAGCGACTGTGAGAGCTCCGATGTAAGTGCGAGTGCTAGCATTGCGGGGACAGCCACATGGGGTAAAGCAGACAAAACACCCACTTTGGGAAAGTTTACTGGTGATCCATGGGTGAGACAAATGCCATCGGACCCTATGCAAGTGTCTGAAGTAGCTGAACTGTTTTTTGGAGATAGTTTCGACATGTTGTATCAGGAGACCAACAGATACAATCTCCAACACCATGAGGTGTATAACAGTACCTATAAGGTGTTGAAGTGGGTGGATGTCACTTCAGCAGAAATGAAAACATTTTTGGCAATAATCATTCTGATGGGGTTTACAAAGAGGGATAATTTGAAAGACTAGGGTCCACTGATCCATTTTTAGAAATTCCCATTTTTGGCAAACTCATGAGTCGTAAGAGATTTGAACAGATATGGTGGTGTTTGCATTTCAATAATAATGAACTGCAACCACAATCAATGGGCAGGCTTTTCAAAATTCAGCCCTTATTAGACTTTTTCGTTGAGAAATTTCAGACAGTTTATAAGCCAGAGCAGCAACTGTCTTTGGACGAATCTGTGATTCCTTGGAGGGGAAGGCTTCATTTTCGAACGTATAATCCTGGGAAACTCACAAAGTATGGCCTACTTGTTCATGTAGTCACGGAAAGCACTTCAGGCTATATTGGAAATTTAGAAATTTATTCCGGTGAAGGCAAGAAATTGCAAGAAACTATTGTTTCCATTTTGGATCCCTATCTGGATCAAAATTATCACGTTTATCAAGATAATTTTTATAACAGTGTGGCAACTGCAGAATCCCTACTTTCAAGGAAAGTACATATTTGTGGTACAATTAGGGTGAACAGAGGCCTTCCTCCAGATCTGAAAGAGGAATGTAAATCCCTGAAACGTGGTAACACCACATTCAGGAGGAAGGGAGACATTCTTCTTCAGTCCTGGAGGGATACTCGCATTGTGAATATGATTTCCACTATTCACAATTTGAGCATGGTCAATGTTCAAAGACGACATGGGCAAGTGAAGAAGAAACCTCTTTGTATTCTCAGTACAATATGTTCATGAAGGGAGTTGATAGAGCTGACCAATACTTGGCCTATTATTCCCTTCCTAGGAAAACAGTAAAATGGACGAAGAAAGTTGCCTTGTGGCTCATAAATTGTGCCCTTTTCAATTCATTTTTGGTTTTCAAAGAGCTAAACGAAAATTCAACTTTGAAATACAAAGAATTTCTCATGAATGTGGCAAAAGCCTGGGCTACAGACCTCACGGTGGCGGCAGAACCTGCGTCAGACACAGACATAGTACAACTGGGAACATCTACTCCCACCCCACGGAGGCCTCATATAGACCCCCCTGGGCGACTCTCGGGTGATATGAGGAAACATACCCTTGTGAAAATTGTGATGAGCGAACAATCGACGGGGAAGTATCCTTCTGGCAGTGCCGTGTGTGCACTGTGTACAAGCGAAGCAAGACTTCCTACGTCTGCAAGTTCTGCGTCATGCCTCTTCACAGAGGGGAATGTTTCCAGAAATATCACACTCTGAAGCACTTCTAGGAGCTCTGGTAAGTCTTCTCCAAAAATTTTAGTTCATAAAATTAATTAGGAGAGTTTATATTAATTTTTGAAGTGAACAGTGCACAAGTTTGGGTAGTAGGTTTAAAAATGCTGGTCCCCAGAGTGATTTAAATATTTAAATCACCGGTCTGCGAAGTGTTAAGGTACCATCCAAAATCTGGTTCTGGAAACCAAGGAGTGTAAATTCAGAGCATACAAATGAAGTGATTTTCTGATGTGGAAGCAGCATACCTCCCATTCAATGCAGAATCCTGAAATGCTATTTATTTCATCACCATTTATAAGACTCAGATGTAGATGAAAAGATAATATTAAAAGGACTCTTAAAATAAACAGTGTACCACTGTGGACTGGATTCATTTGGCTCAACACTGGGTTCTGTGGTAATAAGTAATGAACACTTAGATCCCGTAATAGACACGATATTTCTTCAAGAGTACCATCTTCTGGGATACAACGCTGTGTAACCTGTGCTTGTCATCTGCTGCCATGCTGGTAATTTCCTCAGTTTATTCAACCCTGAAAATGGAGGCGATATGTTCCTCCGAAACGTCGGTTGAATTTCAATGGACTACATATCCCAAAAGACAGTATTTTTCATAACCACCGTTGTGTGAACCTCATATCCTATATAGAAATTTTTTGATTAGGTTACTAACTACTAAAAGACATACATCTTACCTATCTCTATTCAGTGCACAAATTAAAAAAGAAACATACGTTAAAAACACCATTTACACTTAATACAAATATATGATAAAGAAAAAGAATATCCAGGCTCTTCTGGACAGTGCCTTTTGCTTCCACACAGTGCAGTTCAAAAACACTGAATATCAGTCTGTGCCCGATCAAGGTACCATCTTAGCATACGTCTGGAGCGACAGAGGAACCACCAAAAAAAAAAAAAACCTCCCTTCGGCCACCCCAAAGAGTTCCACGCTCGAAAAAACATCAATCAGATATAAAAAAAGACCTTCATAGAAATCCGTCAAGAAAGATTCCTGGTTTGGGTGCAAGATTGTCTGAAGCCTGATGTAACAATCGGCTAATAATTTTATGAACACTGCAATTAAAATACGAAACAATTCTATACATCTTCAGGAACTTGTGTGGCTGATTTGTTGAGACCTGTCAGAATGATTCCGATCACACATAATGCACCCTAATACTCAACAAATTATACCAGGCATTTTTGAAACCCTTACGTTTTAATTTATAACCAACAGCGCAGTACTTATTTCGCATGTTTCCAGATGTGATGTACTTACCTTCACCAGCAATCTCAAGTACACATCCTGCGACTTCGGCTCTGTACGCCTGACCTTGCGGTCCCATTTATGGTTGATATCAATACCCTAAAAATAAATTCGTACCATGTTTTTCATTACAGCTTTATAAATTATGTCACTCAGATGCTTATGAAACTGATTAAAACAGATAACACTTTAAACATAATCACTTATGCCTACCTACCATTATCACAAAGCGGAAGAACCTTCATGTATCAACGCAATCGAACTGAATTGTGGGAGGAAGCACAATTTACTTGGCACCACAGCAAAACATGAATTGTGGGCAACGTAGGTTACGGCACGGATTACTAAATACTACACGTAGCGACATCTAAACGTAGGAGACGCAATTACTTGAGCCAAATCCACGCAAATAATTGAACCCGCGACCTTCCGGCTTGTAGCATAGTGCCTCAACCAACTACAATGGTACAAAAAAAAATACTATGCAATCTAGTGTGTATGGAGTTCTGGTCTTTTCGGCTTCTACTGTAATAATGGGAGAGATGTCTAAGCTGGAATGATCAGGTGGTCTATCAGCTATATGGGGATGCCTTGTATTTCCTGCATGTCACATTTTTTAAATTGCGAGACCTCTCCATTCCAACATATTTTGTCACCTTCTTTGTACACATGTTGGGCTAATTTTGAATTTGAAGCAGGCCCTGTGTCAGGTTAAATTTGTGCTCCCTAATGCACACTTCTAGAGGTCTGCTTGTTCCACCAATGCAACATTTGTTAATCAGTCCAGTTTCCATCAGTGTCCCATGGTCTGTATGATAGTTCTGAAAATGGCCCTGTGATGAAACGCTTTCCAATGCATCTGAATTTCTCAATAATACCCTTAACATATGGGATGACGGTGCCCTTGATATACTGTATCTGAAAAAGGATGATTGCTTCTCAGTGCCTTCATTACAGAGTCAATGAATTCTTTTACATACTCTTTAATCATAAGATCAAGTCTTATGTTCTTTATTTTGTTGTCGAAATTCTTTCTAATGCAGGTCCTTGACTCAGCTGATCCAAACTTGAACAACTCTCCATTTTACGTGATGTGAGGGGACATAAAGTGCAGATAATGACCAGTATGAGTAGGTTACTGATACAATTTTGGACCGCTCTTCATGTCCAAACCATTGGAAAAAGTGAAGGTTATCAAGCTAACTGGGTGATGTATTTGCCAGATTAATTAATTTCAAAAGAATCTTTTATTAACATAAAGGTAATTAATGTCAAATGGATATACCCAAATTTGGATGGTTGTACTATGCCTATAAGATTCACGTTTTCATCTCAAACAACTTGCTTAAAAACTTCTGATAGCCACTTAAGTGGTACCAACATAAATCTAAAACACAGTCATGTTAACAGAAAAGTTAACATAAGGATAGAACAAAAATAAGAATAACTGAAGGGCTATGGCCTCCAAATCCGAAATAACTTCAATTAAAAACCCAGTAAATACTAAAATCCTCTTTATTCAATGTAAGATAACATATCCTACAGCCAGCTGCTGTTGTGTTCATTAGAGTACTATGCTTTTTGTTTGAAATAGTTTCCTTGTGCGGGTATGTTTATTGTTTAGCAGCTTTCAATTTAGAATAGTTCTAATATATCGCAAATTTGCACAAGATGCTACTGATATGAACACTTCTTCTAATGACGGTGATGCACTATTTCGTTCTCCTTCTGACCCAACTACACAGGTTACTGTAGTGATAGTGAGTAGCTGGCATATTCTTCCAGTAATTCAATAACACCTCTCTGCCAACTTCCAGGAACTGGTATGGGCAGGACATTACAAGACTAAAGTAAAGAAGAATTATGTTCCTAATGGCTTACTGATGTGTCAGAATTTTCATCTTACTCTTTCTGGCCCTCTACCTGGCTGCTTCAATCATCAACCTGTTTGCTTGTTTACACCACCAAGGAATATAAATTCTCATGTGACCTCTCACAATACCATCTGTTATTCATTGGTGGTGAAGTGAACAGCCAGTACACACAATAAATTCAAAGTCAATGATGTTCTTATTGATAGCTGACATGCTGTTCCACTTAATTCAAGTGAGCCACCTCTGCCATCATAGACTCCATCAGAGTTATGGAAGTACCAACAGTCTCCACAAACTTCTCAGAAGGTTGGGCGAGACAGTTCTGAAATCACTGTACTCCTTGAAATATAGGAAGACAATGGGCGATAGCAACACTTGAGATGACAAACATGTCTTGCATGCATCACACACCATGAAACACCTGTCTGGCAATAGAACCACTGACTTAGCCTACTGAGAACACTTCCATGTAACCAGCATGTACTGCAGCATCTGTGTCCTTCTGTACATGTTCAGCAGCATAGAAACTCTCAGGCCATCAGCAGGGGATTCCTTGCTATGACTTGCGGAATGATTTGGTAAAGAAGCAGCAGGTGCCCTGTGTAACGATTGTAGGTTATCCAGAAGAGTAGCACCATTATCTTCACAATTAGTTTCACACAGACCTCTAAATCAAGTCCATTTATGATGCTAGACTTCAGGGCATCTACAAAGTGCCCCACAGCTGGGTTACCATTGGAACCATGGTATGAACGAATAGCTCCAAATGTGTTCTCAAGGGGATCCTGGTTCAGGTTATGGGTGTGAAGGCACATAAAACCTGCCTCTCCCACTGTTCTCCACATGTGCTGGGCATCAGTAATGTCAATTAGATACACGTTCTGTGAAGGAAGAGGATGAAGAAAGGTGGGTTTACTATCCTTCAGGAACATCCAACGATTTATCTCCATACTCGCCCTTGTCCAGTAATCTACAAGGGTACTCTTATTGAGTGTGGCAATGCAATGTTTTCCTTGGGTCAACATGTGTTCCACCACTGAAGCTACCAAAGAAGTTATTAACCTCTTCAACAAATGCAGCTGTTACTAGGTATTCACTACAGCACCCTCCTGAAAGACAATTAAAAAGGAAATTAGTGGGCTTCCTTACACAATGAACTACCATATTTTCATAATGGAAAATAACACACATTACTTTACAATGGACTGCCATTATAAAAAATCTCTACAACTGACTGATTACATTAGTCCTCATAGTAAAGTCTTCACCATCTTATTCTCTCATAAATCATATTACTGATGATAGTGCATTCTGCTTTTGAAATATTTTTAATTACCCATAAGACATTAGCACTTGTGACACTCTACGTAACTTCTATACTGTTATACAGTTTAACAAGTAATAAATCACAATGTTTGTTTGATCACAGCTGGGCTCTGGGACAATAATTTTGCAATCCAGCACTCATTATTCGCATTAGCCACTTGTTTCATAACAGAATGCAATTCATAGCATAGAGTGCAGTCATCCTTACCTGTAGCCACTAGAGTGTTAAGGTTTGCTGCAACAATATGGCTCATTACGTGAATAGCCAAGTTAATTTTCATAGTGCTCTGTGCAGTGCAGTTGGGGTGGGTGTCTGCCAGCTCGTACAATTGACAAAACACTCTGGGTTTGTCCAGTTCATAAGTTTCAATATATTGTCACATGTTGGGTGTGTCACGGGACAAATAACTTCACGCCATATTGAATATAGCGAATTTATTGCACATTCGCTCTCACAATTACGCCACTACCGCCATCAGCAGTATCACAAATACTTCTCCTGTTTCCATTCCCTCCAGCAAATGCTAGACTGCAACTGGCTCGGAGATTTGCCGATCCACACTGTCACCCCTGATCTCACACACTCTGCTCACATACTGCTCAGACAGCTTTTTATACCGTTCCGTGTTCCCTTGTGTTACCAGTGGTGTCCTCTTGTTACATCACAGTGGGGAGTGCTGTTACATCACCGTGAGGGAGGGGGATGAAGCGTTGACTGGCCTGTTACTGTAGCAGCGGCAGTTGCTCCGATGTTATGTTACCGTGGCAATGTTTGCCTGACACATTTGCTCTTCTGTTATGTCACGGCGGGGAAGGGAATGTTTACCGAGCATTGCGTAATAATGGAAGGAGTGAGGGTATGTGATGTCATTCATGAGACTGCAGAGTTCACGTGACCCCTACTTCCTGTTGCGCCATCCACGTCACAATGTTTCCACTTAACAATAACAGAAGTTGGCTGCCCAGACCCTCAGACTTCAACTGCACATGCTCCTATTGCCTTCTCTGCTTCAAAATCAAGGAGCTACACTTTCATCCCATGACAGATTCTACTCAAATATGTTGATGTAAATTCGAAACAAGACACTTTTTGATTTGATGGGGACTGCCCTAAGCAAAATGTCTCTGGTGTCACTGTTAATTCTATAATTATACTTCTGGAGCCCTTGATGACCTACTTCAGCCATAATGCAGGTATTAGCAATTAGGTTAAAGCAGCTTGTTACAAAGTGATGTTTCGTTATTATAATCTTGGTACTATTAGTTACAGTTGTCAATGTTTAGTGTTACCTCCACAGACCACATGCATGAAATAAATAATACATAATTTCTTTATAAATTAAAACTATTAATATACAGAACACAATGAATCTCCTGATACAGTTTTTGATACCTCTGTCATCAGGGCCAGTTAAATGTATCAATCCAAAATGGTGGATATTTTGGAGACACAGGATTCATTTCACATTCACTGACATTCTTATCATTGATGCAGTTGATCTGAGCATTCTACAAGTTTATATATTTTATTCTGTTGCAGTCTTGTGGGTTATGACACCATTTTCATGCTTGAAATTCAACCCTGAAGATAAAAGGCAGTATGTTCCTTGGAAACACTGTCTTACATTCTTGACATTTAGAGGAATTGAAACCCAAACTCTTATGTGGTCAGACAGAAATTCAAAGATTTTCTTATGATGATATGTGTATGGGCTGGTCCCTGTGTTGTTGTTGTTATGGTGTACTGGTTCAGTCTAGACTAATTTAATATACATCACTCTGAATAAACAAACTGTTGGGTGACATACAGAATAACGAGCATAAGCTCCACAAGATGATAGTAAGGTCAAGACCGCATGACCTAACTTATGTGAGATCCCGATATGCAGGCTCCCCACACTGTAGTCGCTTCTACCACCAGAAAATCACGTCAACATGTAGCGGTCACAAAGTTTTAAAGAGATTTATCACAAAATATTTAATTTCAATTTTTGCATAATTTTTAATTTTAATGTTTTAATCTTTAGTCTCTAATCTTTAAATTTTATTACCCGAGTATTTTAAAATTTTAACTGAAAGACTCAATTTATGCATTAAAAAAAAACTCAAGTGCATGATAAGCATCCTTATTGTAGAATTAGATGCAATTCAACAACTGAGTCTGGTATCATTGTACACCTGATGACGACCCAATATAAGGGTCGAAACATGTAGCATCAATTAAGACAAATGTTGATACGATAGTGTCTACTTTGTTTTAAATACAGAATATTGTTGTATAGACTGCATACTTTTGTATACATTTTATGTACCTTATTTTGTTAAATGTTATTAAATCCCGGAGGTCAGAAATAGCTCATCTGCTGCATCTGGGTATGAGGGGCGCAACAGGCTTATGTTATCCTTCATCCTAAGCTGATTTGACTCTGCAGTGTGTGAGTGAGTGTCTTGCACTCATGATGAGGCTATAACTGTGCACAGGGGAAGGATGTGGTATCTCCCTCTTGTGTGTTTTACTTCTAAATACATGATGTGTCATATTGAGGTGTGGGAATTTTAACTAAATCTTTCATAAGCAAGTGACAGTTTAAACAACATGTTGGACTTGGTTTAAATTCAGCCACCTCTCTGTGTAGTCTGATTCCTACATACATGATCATCTGTAACAAAGAAATTAAATTTAGTGAACCTGTTCTACACCAACTATTTAGCCTGACTATTTGCTCTTTTAATGGCGCCTTACTCACAACTCATGCAACCAGGAAACAGCATTTTTGTCAAACTACGTACAAGTGTCGTCCTGAACTCAGGGTCCCCAGCCACAATTCTATGGGACAGGGTACAACAGTTGGTATTCACTTATCACACAGCAGCACAGTGTCAAAACAGAGAAGAGTACAAAATGAATCTTCGCCGCCACGAAAACCTCAAATTTTATATGTTCTTTTCAGTTTCATTTTGCTTCAGACTGTGTTATTCTTCTATACAGCATCACTAGCACTAAGATGCCACATCTAATGCTCTTTGTACGTAGCACTAGCTCCCCAGAATTCCAGTAAACCTTGATCTTGTTCTTGAGCTCCCATGGCTTGCAACAATGCAGTCACATCCTGCGGTTGTCCTCCATTCCACTGCTGCACACGGTGCACCACTTTTGCTATGCTTTATGAAAATCAAAATGTATTCATGTGAGTGTTAGGTCAAACATGGAAGTGACAGTAAATGTACACAAGATTTTAAGAAACTTCAGAGGAAGAGATCACTTCGAAGCCATATATGGAAAGCAAATACTAAAACTGATATAGGTCATAACAATGTGAAATGAAATGTGTTGGATCATGGATGGGTGATGAACCTGTGACTTACATAATAACAAGGAATCATATGAGCAGCTGAAAAATTACCTTCTACCATTCATGAAGCATAGGTAGAATTTTATGCAGGACAAAAGTTCTGATATCATTAAAAGTGACGTTAGATCTCACAAATGTTTTCAGTTTCTCCTGAGTGACTTATTTATTTCCATTTATGGGCTTTTAATGTTGCCACTCAGACTATATAGTATTTAATGAAAGTGTGACTCGTGAATAACGAATTGGGAAGGATGTGCATGGCAACAGTTGTGGGCTTGAGGTACGAGTAATAGCTTTGGATTTGTTTGGCAGAAAAATGATGATTTCTTGTCAATACAGCTAGTCTTAACTGACATTTGAGCTACCAGAGTGTACATCTGAAGCATTACTACTTGAGCCAACTTGCTTAAGTATGAATGATGAAAGTTGAGTTGTCAGACTGACAGAAATAATTTGTCCACTCCAGATCTTAAAGTGGCAAGTTGTTTTGGATATACAAAATGTATGTATCTATATTTATAACAGCTTCACAACTCAGTTATACTGTTCACATAAACTGTCATCAAACCTCCATTTCTAGGCAAAAAAAAGTACTTCTGTTATGTTACTACAAAGCTTTTAACAGACTCTGAAACTTTACCCTCTTCCCTGTTCCAAACAGTGCTGGGGAGAGGGAGAATGTCCCAAGATAATGACTAACCCTTTAAACATGCTCTTTGGCCTGCCAGGAAGCTGATGGTGATACAAGTATCACTATAATTATAAAAATGTACGGTAAAGAAATTTACCTATAATATTGATAGTTTCACTGTTCAACAGCTCTAAGCTTGTAATTTTATGGTTCAACAGTAGATGTCCTGGCATATTAGCAATGTGAAGTAGTGCCACTTACATTCAGGCCCTACATTTACTACATCTTGGTCTGTACATCTCCTGCATCTTCTGATTTTGAAACATGAGTCGAGGATCAAGGATAGGTCATGTGTTCTAAAAATTGTTTGCCACCCACTTGAATGATATAGTCACAGTTTATTTTGTAATATTTATGTCATCAATATCACTCTATACTTTAACATGGGTAATTTTAATTTTTTATTCTGCATGTCAGTGCAAAATTTTCCTTACATTTGTGAAAATTTAAAATCTTATAAGCCAGAACTGACATAATTATGAATTTCTTCCTCTGCCCCTTTCAACCTTCCAGCACAGGAAAAAGTGGAATTTAAACGGTACCACGTAAAAATGTTAATCCATCCTGTAGGAATGTCAGCAGAAACTTCTGACAGGTAATCAGTCTATACTCACCAGGAACACGTTCCACTCAGTCTTGGCATATTACTTCACGAGTGGCAGGCAGGTGGCCTTCCTGTATCGCTTATCTAACTTTTGGCACTTATTCACTATCAATGCTTAGCTTCATTGTATTTCTATCCCCTGATTTGTAAGATGGTAGGTTGAAAGAGTCATAATGCAAATTTGAAAGATCACTCCATGTGACACAGCAAGACATTTAATGTGCCGCCTGCTCCCATACAATTTGAGTGCTCTCTGCTGGGTGCGGGTGCCATGAACAATGTGGATCTCTAATCCCGGTTTATAATATGGTCACAGGTGACAATCCTCTGTGCAATTTATTTGAAGTTGTTTCTAGTGTTTCTCCCAGTGTGTCACACGGCAGCCACAATGTTAAGTGCCCATACAAGGGGTTACATGCAGTATTAAGTGAGATACATACCCAAGCCATTCTTGTTTGAGAGCTATGAAGTGGTAGTGCATGGCACTGTCATTCAGTTTTGTATTCTCAATAGCCTTCTCCATTGCAAGTAGCACAGTTGGACCTAAACAGACAGAGTCATGATTAGATGGCTTTATTATTACACTAATGCAATATATCAGGTCTATTTAAGTTGACTGGTAACTAATTAACATCAATGAGCTCAGCATGTTCCTTCCTATTATACATATCTGTTAAAACTTAAAAATGATAATGCAGAGATCTTAAGGATAAACAATCTAATAGTACCGACAATGTGGCAAACATACCCATTAAATGCTATCAATCTTTCTGACCTTTGCCAGTCTGATCTGGGGGCAGCAAAAAAAAAATACATGCAGTGAATGCGTGCCTTCATAATTAACCAAAGCAATTTTATACTGCCAGTCTACATAAATTAGCAAACCAATGGAAACAGCGCCTCAGCCAAGGCGATTCTGATGAAAAATAATCTCATTACATGTCATTAAATGAAAACAAAACTATTCTCCAGTTCCTTGTACTTGGCTCATACCTGAACCTCAGACTGCCTGGCTACACTGACATTTATTCAGTACCTCCAGCAAATGACAAAAGAACCAGCAGAATAATCTAACCACACAATACTCCAACATACTGAACACCAACAAACTCATATACACCACCATGAAAACACTCCATACACAATCCACATTACAACTAAAGAAACTATGGAGTACTAATTTCAAAGATAAAAACGTTTCAATTAATTTTTAAAATATTCAGTAATTTAGATCTTATTTTAACCAAGTTTTGACTATGTTTTAGAATAACTTAAAAAGAATACAATGCAGAAACTATCTACCTACAGATGACCTTATAAGATCCAAACATGTTGCAGAAGAAACAACTATGGTACATGACAACATGACACACAACCAGTCTACAAACATGGTAAGATCTTGAAGAATTTCCACAAAATAGCTAAATGAGACAGGAAGGCCACCTCCCTATAATCTGTGAATGACAAGCAAAAATAAGTGCCAAGGATTACTGAAAACTGTTATGGGCAAGGCACATTATTACCAAGAGTGGACTTCCACCGCCTGTCATGAGTATCTCCTGACATTCTTACATAATGGATTAGTCAATTACTGTATTTTCTCGAACACCCTGCAATCTTGAATATTCTGTGCATCACACTTTTTAAATAAATTAAAATTGAACAGAAGCGTTTCTGAAAATATTTAAGCATTAACAAAGATATGTTATGTATAAGAGTATCCTCAGGTTACAGATGTCTGAGCACTGTCATCTCCACCATTCACCAGGTCTTCTATCCATGACCTCAGTATAGTCACAGACATTTTGGCAATGTCATCAGTACCAGGTTTAAGCATTCACTGTATCACTGACAGCGCACAGAAGAATAGCAGTCTGTGTAACGTGATAAATAGCACAGAGGAAGATTTTCCTGCTGCCCCTTACTCCGCAGTGGCCAAACAAACCTGATCACTACTTTGAACCTGAGCATCAGGATTGTGATTCCTGGAAGTATAGGCTAACCCTATCAAATTACATATGTACAATGGCATAAAGGATAATAGTCTTGCTGATTATAAACTTACATTTCTTGGGAAGCTTGTCACCCCATGTTATTTTATAGGTGTACTTGTTTACATCACTCTGCTCAGCATGGTCACATGGCTGCAGAACATCAAGGCGTAGGATGTCTGGACTGGGCTGCGGAACAGCAACCTGTGGCTCCACACTCAGTATGTTGCAGTGACTCACATCCAAATACTGATCTGAGTTCAGCACTGCTTGGTAACATGATCGTGGTACCAATACCTGAACATTTCAAATTCAGTTTCATGTAAAAGTCTCTTATACTGTGAGATCCCTAACATCATTAATTTATCCTACAGATCATTTGTAAGGATCTAAGTGGCAATTTCAGCCTTGTACTATTATGTGTAGGGTCCTCAGACAATGATAATTAAGGGAACAGCTGTTAATGTGTTGAATTATGAACTAGAACTTTTCTGTAACCCATGTAGCAGAAAATAAAAATAACGAAAGTAACTAAGGTATGTGTTTACAATCTTTATGGCATGCATCCTCCTGTGTGTTATTTACAAATAGATATAATTTTGGTCAGTCGCACAACAAATAATGAAAAAGAACAAAACAGACACTACTGTGTCAACATTTGTGGGATACCCCAAACAACATGTTCAACCTTCATACATTTAATAGGTAACCATTATAGATAAGACACCCTATATAATACTGATCATAAATATACAGAATATACTCATATTCCAGGAAGGTCAAAAAACCAACATGATCTATATTCTGAAGATAGATCCCAGCAAGCAAACACCTTGCAGTACAATATCACCACTATAGTCGAACAAAAAACAACACACATATGATGTATAGCAAGCACAAGGCTTATATGGAATTCATAATATTGGCTATAAATACTTTAATAACCATTTTAATTATAATTTTAATTTTTATCCATTTATTATCAAGTTTAATATCTCTGCACTTTGCCCACACTTGTTGCACTTTATATGGTTTTCAGAATCAACAGCTATTATTCCCCTAATTAGACAAATTGATTGTTCTTTCTAATGGAGACAAAGTTTGTATTCTGTGAGACATGTACTGAGTTTTTAAATATTATTTAGATGAACTCCATTTTTCAAAGTGTTAATGCTGGTATCTTAAAGAATCAATAAGCTGAACAGTAAATATATTCAACTTCATACATTCTTTAACAATCTACCAGATGGTTACAGCATAACTTCACTATACACATAAGAATGTGAAGTCACACAAATACTCACATTAAGACAATTAGCTATACTGGCTATAAGCCCTGCAGGTTTGCCACGTAATATTAACTGCCTCCCAACCATAAGGCTATATGCCAGTGAAAGGAATGGTGTTGGACCCAAAATCTGGTGAAGATGGCGTATGTTATGAACAACTGGAGAAATTGGACTAGCATCATGTGATGCACTCGCTTCAAGCTCCAGTACTGGAGAATGAACCTGCTTTGCTGTTGTCACAAGGGTAAAGCCTTCCTCTGTCTCTGAAAGTGTCCAAGCAAACAAAGCTGCAATTCCTGATGGCATTTTGGTTACTTAAGCGTACCTGACTGTGGTACCATGCAGTCACTTCTTACACTCAGTAAACTGAGGCAGCAGCTCCCTCTTAAATGTACCAACTACACAGTATCACATACCAAACGACTGCAGTCTTAATATTTTAGCACTGCAATAACCTCATTCATATAAAATGCAATAGTTACCTGCACAATAAACATCAAATAGAATGTTAACTTATCAGTAAGCCTCAAACTAACCTGACCCTGTGTTACAGATAGACTACTATGACTTTTTTTTTAACCCTTCCGCACCGACATCCGTGTGCTTCACCGACCCTTTAAATAATCGTATGCCACCGACATCTGTGCAGTTCACCGACCTGCGCAGTGTTAGCTTTGAAGGACGTTGCTGACAAAACGAGGAAAGATATTCCAATTTTCTTTTCAGGAGTACATAGATTAGGGTTTCATCTTTCTATTGGTATATGAGTTATTTATTTTGGACGAATTTTTAGCACGGTATTTTTATTTTGTATCGTTAGTGTAATAGTTCGTACTTTTGTCTCACTGCGCCTAGATTTCATTGAAATTTTTCAAATTCTAAGTAAGGAAAATGTATAAAACTATATATCTTTCGACTCTATGGTCTTTGCTTGTCTATATGAGTCACTCACTGAAACCCCAGACGAAGGTTTTCCTTGAATGGGTTGCTGTACAGTCTGCTGACACAATGAAGTAGTCAAACAAGAGGGTCCTTTTTTCTTGGAACCAAATGCAACCTAAGAAAATAAACTTACGAATGATACAGAAATCTATGATGTCATAACACTTTCTTCTCTCAGTCGCGCCATAACCATGGCCTCTACAAGTAGGAAAGTTTTACAGGGCGATGAACTAGAAGAGTTCCTTGCTCACGACTCGGAAGTTAGTGAGTTCGAATATTCGGATAGTAGTGAAAACAGTGATAATGAAATTGAAGATCAGGCTGTAGTTGATGCTATCCAAGATCTTAGTATTGAAGATGACGACGAAATAGTGGCGAGGGTTCCAGTGGCGGATTCAGACGAGAGTTATTTTTGGCAAAATATGGATAATTATGATGGCGTTCGCGAACGGTTTTCTGAAAATTCAGGCCCGAGAAATCAGTCTGTCAATGTGCTCGATATAGTACAGACATTTCTATTATTTTTTACTGAGGATTTTGTGAACAATATCGTTCAGGAAACAAACACTTATGCGCAACAATTTATATGTGGGAGGGTTTTTCCATTTAGATCTCCAGCTAGGCAGTGGGTACCAGTGACACTAAATGAAATGTATGTGGTCTTAGCCTTGTTCTTGCTGATGGGTATAGTCAATAAGCCAACTCTAAATTCATACTTTTCAACGAAAAGATTACTATACACTCCAGCATTTCCTGATGTAATTTCGAGAGACAGATTCCAGCTTATATGTAAATTTCTCCATTTCAATGACAATACTAAGAAAGATAATTACCTAGGACCTACAAGACTTTTCAAAATTTTTCCTGTCATTCAACATCTCAACGAAAAATTTCAGACACTCTTCTATCCTGGACAAAATATTTGTATTGATGAATCGCTTACACTATGGAAAGGGAGATTGGCATTCAAAATGTACTTGCCACTGAAAGCTTCAAAATTCGGCATAAAAACTTATGAACTCTGTGATTCCAAATCTGGGTATTTATGGTCATTTATTGTTTACACTGGCAGCGAAACCCAACTAAATTCTTCACTGATCAGAGAAAATACCAATAAAACAACATCTGTTGTTCTACATTTGGTCGAACCGCTCCTCCATAGAGGTCATACTCTATGGATGGATAATTATTACAATTCCCCCCAGTTAGCAAAATTATTAAAAAATCATGGCACTGACTGTGTTGGGACCCTTAGGTTGAACAGAAAGGGTGTCCCAACAACTGTAAAAAACACAAAGTTGAGAAAGGGCGAGATCATAGCTCAGCACGCAGGTCCTATAACTGTTCTCAAGTGGCAAGACAAAAAACCAGTTTCCGTGATCTCTACATTTCACAATGCCGACACACAGACAGATATAAAGAGAAACAAAGAAATAAAAAAACCAAAAATTATAATTGATTATAATGAAATGATGGGTGGCGTTGATTTGAAAGATCAGCTTTTACAGTACTACAACGTGGAAAGAAAAAGACTTCATAAGTGGTACATGAAACTCTTCAGACGCCTTTTGAATGCGACAGTGGTAAATGCCATGATAATTTATAACAAGAATCAGGAAAGACTGACAGACCACTTAGCATTCAGAGTAAATCTGGTAGAAGGGTTGCTGTTGAAGTTTACGGACCAGGAGCAGGCAGCACGTAGAGTACAAGGTCGACGTCATTCATCAGATAACACCATCCCCCGGCTTCGTGAAAGACATTTTATTAGTAAAATTCCCCCATCAGGAAAAAAGGCTAGACCACAAAGGCGATGTGTAGTGTGTACAAAAAACAAAAGAAGAAAAGAAACCGTGTACTGGTGCAGTGATTGTGATGTTGGGCTATGTATTGACCAGTGTTTTCAGGATTACCACACCAAACTCAACTTTTAGCAGTTCGAGTGAGTAAAAAAATATTATTTATCATAATTATATTGAAAAATATATATATATAGTTTTGTTCTTCGTTTCTTTATGAATATTTCTGTGAAAATTTTATCTCAACATACCAATTTTTGCGAGAGTTACTAAATTTTTCATGGATAAGTGCATTTTTCTGTTTAATAATTAAATACCCCATCGGTTTGGCGGTAGGAAATGATTTAAATACTATCCGTCGCGGAAGGGTTAATTCGCTTAGAGGGGGGTGGAGTCCAACTGGGTCCACTTGGCACGGCGGCCACTGATTGGCCTATTGTAGCCTGCCCCAGGTGATTATGATGATGGAGAATTTTGTGGAATGAAGACTGGCAGGGGAGACCGAAGTACTCAGAGAAAACCTGCCCCAGTGCAACTTTGTCCACCACAAATCCCACTTGACCAGACCCTGGGATTGAAACCGGGCTGCCATGGTGGGAAGCCAGGGATTAACCGCTTGAGCTATGGTGCAGCCTCTACTATGACTTAGTTTCTGAAGTTAGAAACAAATTCTTATGAAGGCAGGGTTCAGATTTTAAATGTTATGTTTTTTTTAGAGTTGGGCCAGCCATCACTGAGCCTTTTCCATAATTTTGTGGGATAGCTAGTGCAGTATAAAGCAAGTTTTTATGATCCCAAAAATGTCTTTACTTCTTCCATAGGTGGCATTGCATGGTATTGTATTTTCTAGTAACCACCGGACTCTTATAAAGAACCCAATGCATCAGGACTTCTGCAACAATACTCAGTAGCATGTGCATTCTCTGTGTAATCCTACAAGTAATCATTAGGAATGGAAAGATTATGATGACACGTTTAAAAACATATACCCTACACTGTGTGTGCTTAGATCAAGTTCCATAGAAAACAAAAGGATAAAACTGAGTAGTAAAAGGAACTTGTTCAGTGGTGTACCTTGGTGATTGTAAAGCTCTGGTGTTGGTAAACCTTCTACTATCTTCTCCACCAGTCGATCAGCTCCAGCCTTCAACAACCATGTGAACCTAAGATGAAGCCTAGAACATGGAATATCAGATTACATTCAAACTTTCAAACACTCTGATGTAGACTGCTGTCGTTGAAGTTTCTGTCATTGATAATGACTGTGCACTTCTGTGACAGCCCGAATTTTTGAGGAACATACTACCCCAATCTTCAGAGATGAAGAAATGAAGTTCTTCTATTATGAAGGAGGCAGGTTCTTAGGAAACAGTGGCAACCACCTATCAGACTATAGAAAGTAAATACCACAAAAGACCATAGTAGTAGTCACTGATGTGAGAACCTAAAATGTTGCAAAATCATTCACCACCTAACAAATTGCTGTTATACTAGCAAACAGCCACACCTACAACTCCCACATCATAGAAGCTCATGAAATAGTGAAACACCACCATAACATCAACCATGAAGATTGGTTATTAGCTAAGTAAAGTCTAGTTTCATCAACTTTCCTCCAATCTTCTCCTTAATCATGTGGCCAACTGGGCAGCGCCACACAGTTACCCGTACGAGTATGAGAGGTGGGATACAAAATCCGGCACTCGCACAGCGATCTTCAATGATCTATTGTGCTTCCCCTTTGGATTAAGCTTTTATTAATCCTATACTTCAAATGAAATGTAGGACTTTATTTAAGGGGGCATCACAAAAACCACTTGGTTCCATGAAGAACTGACCCAGGTAGCAAAATCTTAAGTAAGCTATAGCCTCACAATCACACAGGATGTTTATGGCTGATTCGTCTTCTTGTAGGCACCTTTCACAGGTTGGGTCATCTGTCAGTCCCAGTTTAGTTACCCATAACCCAATGTCAGGCCTATGCATCAGTCTAGATCCTCCCTCCCACCTCATACACCCTGATGATGGCAAATGCAGAAACAACTTCAAAATACAATGTGGCTTAACCCCAAAAGCCAAAATTACACATCAGATACAGGCCACAAAACCTACAGACAAGAGTATAAACCTTAAAGAAACTGGGTGCAAGGATGAGGATTGGATTCAGCTGGCTCAGGACAGATCCAGTATGGGGGGAGGGGCTTTGTGAACACAATAATGAACTATCATAAAAGGTTATCAACTCTGTCCAGTGTAATTTAGAGATGTCACACATTGAAATAGTAGTTTCTGTGTATGCTGATATATCCTTCTGAAGATGGTCGCTCAGACTGAAACATCTCAAGGATGAAAGATTAAAAAGGAGAGAGAAAAACATTTATCAATCACATTGGATGGAGTTAATAAACTTTTATAATATTGCTTGCGTGACGAACAAGGATGAACCAAATCAAAACAATAATGAACCTTTTAAGTTCACAAAAGGCAAGGAATTTCTTGATTGAGTGACTATTATCTTCTCAAGGACTCTGCTTCATGGACTTGACTACTTTTCAAAACTTTGTAATTTTTATTTTCAGACAATTAAAGAATAAGCATGTAAGCAGGTTCCTATTGTTGTAGGTCGCAGTGCAAGGGCAGAGAAAGCCCACTCCTTATACATTCATGTTCCTATTGAGAAGCTAATCCAAAGTTTCATTACTCATCATATTTTTTCAGATGCATTTTAATATTATAGTCTAAAGCGGTCTCTTCCCTTCAGAACTTCTGACCAAAATTCTGTATCCCCCTTTTCAAACCTGTCAAGCACAGTACATGACCTGTCCATCTCATCCTCGTTTACTTGATCATCCTAGTAACATTTTGTGAAATGTGCAATGGGGAACACGTGGTAGCATAGTTGGTTGAGGCTACAAGCTTGAAGGTCGTGAGTTTGAGTCCCAATGGGGTGGATTCTATCAACTGATCTAATCCTTTCAGAAACACTATTGCCCTGGGGTTGACTCAGCCTCTAACAGAAATGAGTACCAGGAATAATCTTGGGGGTAAAGGGTGGCCAGCGCATAAGGCTGACAACCTTACTGCCATCTGTGAGCCGACTGTCTAAAGCAAATGTGGGAACATTTGAACTCACCAAGAAAACACTTCCTTATCAGCGGTCAATTCAGCTAGAGATCGTGATGTACGCTGCTGCTGATGTTTGCTGTCAGAATTGCCATGTGCTACTATAAGCCTTAATGCACGTTGTGGGCATTCTGCTTGCTCACATTCATATACCTTAGGAACATAAATACCAGACTGCAATTTAAAAAATACAGTAACTGACTTAGAGCACAATGGAGAGAATGAGAGATGCTTGTGGTCCGTCAAATTGGAAGAGGTTGAATTACAATCAAAAATACAATATGATGAGGCCTTCATAATACACTTCTTACGATACAGAATACTAGCACTGATATCCCCTAACTTATGTAGATTCTGTTTATATGATTTCTTTTAAAACTAACCTTTTTTTTATAAGGACTGAAACATAACTGTCTTAAATAATGCCATTAAAAAAACTGTCCCTGTGCTTAATTAATTAAGCATTATGCCATGAAGACATATGGGGGAGTGGAATTACAGCTCCACCTTTTTTGAGCTTGGCACTGGATGGAGGTGAGTGGTCAGCTTCATTCCCCTGCCACTTTAACACTGGGGAAAGAACCCTCAGTATCAACTGGATAGGAGGCTGGATGGGTCCCAGAGTCAGTATAGACACGATGGAGAAAAGAAAATTCTTTCAGTGGTGGGAATCAAACTCAGGCCGTCCAGCCCATAGCCCATAACTATTATCAACTGAGCTACCCTGACTCCACAAATAAAGAAATTAAGATTCAAAATGGCCAAAATGAATTACATAAGAGTTAAATAAAATAAGTTTATTAGAGTGAAAATTAAGAGCACAGAAAAAATCAAGTTACACTGTTTTGAGATATGTGACCACTCCTGAATGCACAACTATCACATAAGTTGAGGGATACCTGAAGTGAAAATAACTACAATACCAGTATGCTAAAGACATGATAATGAAATTCAGCGTCTCCCTGAATCAGAACATGTAGAAATTCTCGGGATTAATATTCAGTGAATATGTCTGCATTTGTTTATTGCTTTACCTACAAATGCAATATTAAGCAACAAGGTCAAGCAGGATAAAATTATAAAGAGTGTAACGTCAGAAACTACTGCCATGTCCCTCAACTAGACCCCCCCCCCCAACTTCATTCCTTTTCCCCCTCTCCTCCTGCCCTATGCTTGCGCCCTTCACCCTTTCACCAGGGACTAGCAGGTTCGTCTGAAAACTGAAGGGCGATTCTGCTGCACGCTGTGGAAGAGTGTGGTGCTCGTCTCGTTCCAAATTATCTCTTGAACATTTTTAGGTTTCCTAAATTAACGGCAGAGTTGGTGCACTGTTTTACATTGTTTCATCCTCATCTGGGACAGCCTGTACTGTTCCTTCACTCGACAAATTATATTATTATATTTATTTGGTGTGTGTACTGTTTAAATTTTTTTCTCCCCAAACCACCTTTCCGTCCTGGGCCTTGGTACGTGTCAAGAGCAAAACTGTTACACATTGTGAAATGATAAAGAAATTACTATTTTGTTAGTATCCCAGGATTCATCTGTAGAACAGAGAAACCCCATGACAAATAAAACCTCATAAGTAGCTACTGTATCCATACTATCTTCAATGTGTTCAAGGCCTTAGTCCTGCTCACAATCCTGGAAGAGCTGCTTTCAGCTGATATTTCTTCAAAAATGTGCAACAGATTCACTTACTACCCGATACATTAGGAATAACTTAAAGATATGCTACTCAGTCTGTTGTCGTTGAATGTTTTAAAATTCAAAATGCAACCATTTGGGATACATGTTCATATAATCTTCTTCATTCTTTCAGTGAATGAAACCACATCCCAAAGTTTAGTAGAACGTTTTTCATTCATCCTGTGTACATTAAATTATGATTTCACTTAATACACACATAAGCAATGGAAATTTATTTTTGGCAAAGGTTGAGACTGCTATGCTGATTGAATCTCTCACTGACCTATCACATTTATTTTCCATGCAAGGTCGATATTTAAATGCATACGCAACTATCTCAGTGCTGTTTGGTGATACTTAATGTTACTACTATGACAATTTTCTATTGGGAACAGAATGAGGACATCTCTCAGCAAACCTTAGGCTTCTAGATATATGCAGAGGGGCACAAAAAAATGTATAAACTATCTGCTTAATTAATTTACTGATAATCTATATTTGATACACACAGATAGTGATGGCTGTGACACATGTTGAACTAGAACAAGTGTTCAAAGTGACCACCATTAGTTTGTAGACATGTCTAAGTCAGGCAGACTAGCCCAGGAGAAACCGTGGGCATGATGTCCACTGGGATAGACGCACACAAGGTTTCAATTCCTTCCCATGATATCTCCAGCGCCAGTGGTTTTCTACAATATACCACATCCTCCGGGGACCTCAAGTAGAAGTTGAGGGGGGGATAAATCAGGCGAGCATGGTAGATACTCAACACTACCTCTTCATCCTATCCATTGACATGGTAGGATCTGACATCTCAGTTGTAGTGTAGTGACAAGCCATCCTGTTGAAAGTAAAATGGCTCATTCCCATAGAGCTTATGAATGGCAGATAAAATGGATGTCCAAAGTATTGTCACGTGTTGGGTGTGTCACACGATAAATAACTTCACGTGGGTCTCGGATCCAACGAATCTTTATTGGACACTCACACTTATACACCACACAATGGTTATCACTTCAACTGTACTCTGCGTCGGATATCTTCCAACTGTCTTGTATGGCGACTAGGTTCCAACTGCATTATGTGAAGGCTAGATCTCAACTGTGTTGTATGAAGGCTAATTAGCTCTGTCATCTGTAGCTCTGTCGCTCTCGGCTTATGTAGGTGTTCTGCGGACCGGATACGAGACAGCGTTCGCCAAGGTTCAATCTCACATGTTCGGCAATCCATTGCTTCAGGAACGCTCTCTATACACTGGTAACAAGTTTCATCTCATCCATTGTTACTCAACGGCAATTAATGGCTACGATTTGTTGCTGTCGGATCTCTACAATTTCCATTGTAGCCATTGCGCAGCGATGGACGTATGATAGCTCATCACAGTATGTAAAGGTACATATGTCCAGTAACTGTTCCTTCGAAAAAGAATGGTCCAATTAAACCCCTGTATAACAGTCCATACCTGGCAGAAGGTCCTGGTAAACTGAATGCCTTGTCCACATGAATGCGCACATTTTCTGTAGCCCAATACTCACAATTAGGGCAATTCACTGCATCATTCAACTTAAATGTTTACTTCATCAGTCCAAACAATTTTGCTCATGAATTCTTCATTCTCCTCTATCTTGTGTTGAAACCACTGACAAAACTGCACTCTTTGATCAGGACAGCTTTCATTCATGGTACGTAAAAACCTTGGAATTTAGCATGTTTTAGAATGCATTGCGCACCTGACGTAATTCCTGTCTCATGTGTACATTGCCTTGCGGACTTTGGTGGTGACTGTGTAAACTGTTTCAACACCATAGCAGAAGAGGCAGGACTCGTTGCTGTGCAAGACCTCCCAGATCTTCGCTTGTGCACATCATGCAATACAGCATTACCCTCAAATCTGTCATGAATGTGTGCAATTGTTAATCGTGTTGGAGTTTGCATCGCAAATCCATCCTAGTACTTCACACACACATTTTAAAATTTCCAGTACCACTTAAATATCATCTTGCATTGTTTGAAGCTCAACCATTCCGCTGCCATTTCATCTGACTGTCCTGCCATTCATGTGACTAGCACCAGCTTTGAGAGAATATCACATCACACTCTATACACTACATTACATTTCAACTCAACTTTGAAAACATCCATGGATAACCACCATTGAAGTGTGTGTACATTCTTTTGGACCTCTGTAGATTATACAAAACAGTATGCTCTATGAGGCAGCTGATTCATCCAGAACATTGATACATATCTACCAAACTACACAGCATCACACCCCAAAAGGCTATAGTCTTAATGGTAAGAGACAAGAAAACCTAAAATATTTTAAAATAAGTTATGTTTTCTCAGTTAAGCTTTATGTTCGATGAGTGACAATCAATCTAGCAGCCAGGGCATGTTAGTGAACCAAACAAATCGTTCTTACTTTTGCAGCTTTTGCCTGAAGTGCAGAGACAAGAGTCATGATATTATCCACAAGGAAAGGCCATGAGTTAAGCAGAAAAAACTTGTCTCTCATGAGAACAGTAATGCTGAACCAGCGATGAAATCCTCGAGCTTGTGCATCTTTCAGAAAAAATGTATAACTCAACACATGACCTCGAACTTCGTCCCCAAAGAAGACAGGACCCTCCTTTCCAGGACTCACCTGTATAGGAAAAAGAACTATACTAATATAACCCCTTTTTATCATTTAACATTCTCAAACCCTAAACCAAATGTCACAATTGAATGGTTGAACTCCTGTTTCATATTTTTTTAAGTCTTGGGTTCAACTTTTACCCTAAGGCCTTATAAGCTTACTTCTTTGCTCTGTCAGCCACATGAAAAAACCATGTTCTGAGAGTGGCACAGAAACTAAACTCAACTGTAGCCAGCTCCTGTCTCTTTGAACACTGTGCCAATGTTTACAAACACCCACAGAAAATGCTAGTTTTAAAAACACTCAATTCTATGACAGCGCAATATCCAATTGGGGGGGGGGTGGTAATACAGAAATGATGGAGTGAGTACTGATATGTGGTCCAACCTTCAGATATTAAACATCAACAGCAACCTTAAAAGACCTTGTCAATGCTAATGATGTAGTTCTACCAAATGCAATATGCAGATGAATTCTCTGACCAAATACAGAGCAGATGAAGATTCAACTGTCAAAGTTGATTAAGAATAGAGACCAACCCAACAAGCTATGAAGCAGCGCACCCAATAAGTTATCACCATTTTCTGTAAGGTATCCTAATGTGCCAGAGTCCACCATGAAAAAGTCATGAGACCTCGAAAATTACATTTCAAATCCCTTTGAAAGAAAGACATATTTCCTAAAGCTATGGATCATGTACAAGGTGGTTCAAATATGACCGGGACTGATTTCTTTTTTTAAACCAAAATTGCCAAACACTTACTTGCATATGTCAGTCTTCAACGTACTCCCTCCAGAGCCAACACATTTTTTCCAATGTTCTGGAAGCATCCTGATGCCCTTTTCAAAAAAGTTTTGTGGTTGGCGGCGTATCCACTCCTGAACATTCTGGATGACGGCGTCGTTGTCCACAAACCGCATGCCTTGCAAGTCTGACTTGAGCCTTCCGAACAGGTAGAAATCACTTAGTGCCAAATCGGGACTGTACGGCAGATGTGTCAGAAGGTTCCATTTCAATTTCCGGAGGGTTTCCATTGTTGTTTTGGCCGTATGGGAGCGTGCATTGTCTTGAAGGAAGGCTACCCGCTTTCCACCTCTCTTCTGCTTGGATCGGATCTTTTCCTTCACGTCTGTTGCCAGGAGGTCTGAGTAATAAGCTGCATTGACTGTTCTGGCATCTGTCAGAAAGTCTACATGGATAACCCCCTGCCAGGCCCAGAAGAACGTTGCCATCACTTTTCCTGCCGAACGGCTCTTCCGCGCTCTCTTGGGTTTGGGAGAACTGGTATGCCACCACTCGCCTGATGATTGCTGGGACTCTGGAATGAAGTAGTGCACCCACGTTTCATTGGTGGTCACTATAGACTTCAAAAATGCATCACCTTCATCTTCAAACTGCTGTAGGAGACGACTTGCAACTTGCATGCGCACCATTTTGTTCACATCCGTCAAAGTGCATGGTACCCACCGTGCATTCACCTTGCGATAGTGCAGGTGGTATTTCACGATGTCTTCTACACTACCAACATTGATGGACAGCATTGCTCCAAGTTCCTTGATAGTGATGCGCCTATTCTCACGAATAAGTGCGTCTGCACGATCAATGTTTGGCTTGGTGACGGATGTTCGCGGCCAACGATCATGCGGTTCATTCTCCACGTGCTCTCTGCCCTCTCTGAAGCACTTACACCACTCAAACACACGGGTCCGTGAGAGACACTCTTCCCCATACTCTTGTTGGAGTCTGTGGTGAATTTCAGCGGACAGGACATTTTCTCCAATGAGGAATTTGATCACAATGCGTTGTTCCACACTCCGCGGTACCTTCTGTTCACTCATCACTCTAGCAACTTCCAGATAGGACTGAACAGGTTCTAACCCTAACAGGAGGGAGGGTGGAGGTTGTGGCTTCACTCTCTCAAGGTCGCACAGCTGCTGCACAGTGCGGCTTGTTTACAAAAAAATCAGTCCCGGTCATATTTGAACCACCTAGTAAAAACAATTAAATGTATTTTTGTAAATGTGAAAGTAAATGGTGTAAACAGAAATCAGAACACTCCTGTATTTACAAAAACATCTGTCCTGTGTTCAAGAATAACAATTTAAACTTTAGAAGAGAAGATTCAAAATTATCTTTCAAGTTTTACAGCTCTACTGAAAATCTAACTTAACAGTGATAAATTAGTGAGTCACAATAACACATAAATGATCCTCAATGCATACAAAAAATTTCATATGCAAAATTATTAATCTGAAATCACATTATGGTTTAGCATTTTAAAACTTCCTACTCAATAAGCTTGATATGTTCGGCTTTTTCTTATAAGTTTCCCAAGGGTTACACCACAATCATATATTGGAAATTGTTTGCAAAGTTTGCAGAAATAATCAAATGAAACTGGCATAATTCTTGGGCATTACATATTTAAAAAATTCTGGCATCCACACAGTGAAATAAATTTACTGAATTCTAACCTCACAACTCAGGCTGCGGATGCAGGCCTGGCGAACAAGAGCTGCCACATCAGGCTGAGTAGCTTGTTGTGTGCTCAAGTAACTGATTCGTCCCTCATGATCATTGCATAAGAACTTCTGTTTAGGGTCCAATGATTGGCAGGCCTGCAACACAGAAACTTTATATATATATTCCAGACTGTCAGAGATTGTGGAAAGCTTTGGTTTTCATTTCTCTTATGGATATATTTTAGGTACAGAGATACAGGGGACAAGATGCAAGTTGGAGACTCTGAAATTATATCTAAATGTAAACTGCTCTGTGTTTTTAAAAATAAGTTCTTTTCAGTAAAATATTTTCGCTAAAAATATGGACTTGTTTCTTGTCGTGTGCCAGAAGATTGTTGCTTTGCTGTTACCTCCTCCTCCTCCTCCTCTGACAAACTCTCCTCCACAACTTCTCGCTGTGAAACACAATGCAACTCCAAATCGTGCAAATTGTTGATGTAGACTGATTGTATGTGCGTGCTAGATCAGCCACGCTCACACCTCGCTCTCGCTTTTCAATGATTTTATGTTTCATTTCTACGGTTATTTTTATTCCCTTATGGCTGTCTTTGCAGCTTTTTCTTCGGGGACATTCTTGCAAGTTTTATTAAACTTTGCACAAAAAAAATCACAAATAATATGTCTGAACAAAAGTTTGGAAAAATGTGCGATCACAAGCGACACTAAGATGCTAGCGGAACGAGTGCTAAACACAGACTGATGTAGCAAGCGCACAATCCGGGACTTCCCCTCTCGTCACTCGTTATGCGAAACGTTGCTCATTAAGCGAGGCATTCTTTTACAATTTGTTTTGCTTGTTATGCGAATTACTCATTATGAGAGGTGCTCATTAAGCGAGGTTCCACCGTATTTGACTGCTTTAAAATGCTCAAATACACACCTCACAAGACACTGGCATGTTGTTTGATATTGTTCTGCACCTTCCCACTGCATTACCATAACAGAACTTGGGTTGTTCAATCTCTCTTTCTGTTTCTGGGCCATCAGGCTCATGAAACGCTTGTGTCACGAACAGAACACTGGGGCCATGAAGCTCACAGAAGTGACACAGCGAAATCACGGCATTCATCACATTGGTGTTCACACTCCTTTAATGCAATATAGACATTCAGACAAGATCAAATTAACAATACATGCAAGTACTTCGCAACTGTTTCTCCTCTTCTTAAATTATGTAACTTCCGCACCTCGATAACAAAATTAAATTTTTATATTTTTGCACCCAACCAGTCCTACATTAAACCTGTTCGAATTTTGAAGACAAAATGATAAAAACTGCAACTCAGATATAATGAAACCTATTTATGGAATCTCTTACTTTAATATTATAGGTAAACCTGCATCCTTCAAAAATACAGGCAAATGGTTGTCATTACAATGAATGATTCCTTTTATCACCTTTTAAGATTAGTGGCAATGTTTACAACATAACGCAGGACCATTTGAATACCAGACCAGTTTGCTGTTAGATTACAAGGGCAGCCCAGAACTGGTTGTTTAAAATTTATTTTTTGTTACTATTTAGTAGTAAAAAGAGCCATACAGAACTCACATCTAGGTTCAACTGGCTGATGACCTGTTTTGTCTTTCTGGCAAACAGAGACAGCTTCAGTTCCCTGGTGATCCTATTTCATCCTTTTGAGTGATGTCTACTTTATCCCATTGTATGTGACAGTCATTCTAGAAGTGTTCAGCTGTTATAAACTTGGATGTTTCTCCTGGTTATGTATTGCATTTGTGTTTAGTGATTAAGGTATGAAATGGTTGCCTGATGTGAGGAACACTGCCTATATTGGCATAACACAAAAATTATCTATGACAAAAACATGATAACTAGGTAACTTAGAGAATGTTTTACAGAAAACAAATTATACTACAACTGTTTCTTTTGTGAATGACTCTCTGAGTCTCTTTTGGCCAGATAAATGAAACACAGATAAGTTTTGTGTAATTCTCTCACCTACTGTTGCCTATATGCTGAAAATAGCTATTGTTTTCAGGGAACTTTAACAGTACTTCATTCATATTACATGTTCATCATACAGGTTTAGCTAAGAAGAGAACAAAATAGAAAATTTCCAGAAGTGAACAGTTTGATATAAGGTGTCTGTAAAGGCACTCCTTCACACTGAGATGTCTCATTAGCTCCAGAATTCAGCCACACCCAGTGCTGAACACTGATTGACGCTGCTCTATTTTATTGTGATCACTTGATGATGTAACGCTCTTTATTGACTGTTTAAACCCTGATGATGCTGTGTCATTCCAGCATGCTAAGAAGGCACTGACAGTAAAACTGTGCAGGGACATCACCCTGTAATTGGGGCACAATTCAGAAATACAGCATAGTCTGTAAGGAAGCAAGAAACATTTGACATGCTCCTAACTGAAGATTTGGACATCACTGAGAAAGAACATGCTGAATCATGTCTGTCCATGCAGGGTATGAGCACACTCTGCAAAGAAATCTGCCATTGTTGTGAAGAAATATTTTCACACACAGGGCTCACAACTTCCAGAGATAATGGCTAATTACATGGCTGTGCTTAAAACACTGTCCTGCCACATCTCTAGGTGTCTGTAGGTCCTTCTGTGCTACAAATTTATCTTGACACAGAAGCCCCACAAACTTATTTCAGAAAATAAAATGGTGTAATATGCTACAAGGCATGCACTGTCTTCGCTCCCTCGGAAGCCAGGATCGTGGGTTCGAATTCCACTCAGGGCATGGATGTTTGTATGCGTTTTTCTGTGTTTGTGTACAGGTAGAGGCCTTGCGACGAGCTGATCACCCGCCCAAGGAGTCCTACCGCATGTCTAAGATCTAGCAGAACTGAAGTGAAACAGAGAGTGTCATGGAGGTAGGCCCAGGCCCACTGGGGCTGTAGCGCCAATGAAAAAAAAAATGCAACAAGGTAAATTACAGCCAGGAAATAGCATGCAGACGAGAACCCATGAAAATATAATCATCAGCTTAGCAGATGAATTCTGCACATATGTAATTTAACATCATATGCAAATTTTGAGGGCATATTTTTGCAATTTTTAGATTACAGATCCATACATGTTTTGTGACTTCTCAGTGCATAAAACTCCTGTCTAGTAATCATTTATGAAGTTCTATATAAACAGAGACTGATATGAGAGTCTGCATCAAATGAAGGGAAAACCCTCTAGTCACACAGTAAACTACTGCCATGCTATCACAAGCAGCACATTTCCATTTCAACTAAACACCTTAACTTGGGGGGGGGGGGNCAGTAAATTAAAATGTCAGACACAGCACTGCGTATCATAAGGTCCTCCATTTTTCTTGAAATGGCCATAACAACCCTTGCCAAGTCCTTTCCTGTTCATTGTTCACAGCCCTCATTCAGTGCAATGCTCAAATAACCTCTGTTGCTAACAAGTATCTATAAATCAGCCAATGATTGAACATTATAACAAATAATGGCCACAACAAAGGATAAATACAGACAACCTATGGACTATGCCTAGAAACTGAGGGCACCACAACAGCAGAAGGATAAACAATAACCAATATTTACGTATAGTGCAGAAGGGACTGAGATAAGGCATAGCAATAAAATGTTACACATTCTATACACTTCAGAAACCTACATGGAAAATGGAATACACAAGACACACAGGGCAGACTAATGTATGACAATAATCAGTGCATTTGATTCAAATCTTCACTTTATCAGCCATTCTGACCCAGGTTTTATTAAGTTTTTATCATTCCCTCCCCAAAAATGTCAGGATAGTGCCTTCAGTCTCTTACAGCCAGCCAAGTCCACACCACATGCAGCTTCTGGTCAAATAAATGGAATTTTGGACCTCTGTTTTGCCAATACATCAGTTCACTGCCTGCTAACACAGTAACCTAGCACCCATGTGAGCCATACCATTATGTTCTGCTAGCAACTTCTGGGACTGCAGACAGTCCCCACACTAATTTTCAGGTAATCTGGACAGAACTTACAGAGTAAATGATGATATTTATCATTATAATTAGTGTATAGTTGTTTGTAGGCTTCAACTTGATTTCCTTACAAAGACATTATTTGGACCTTGCTAGAGCAAAACCTCATCATTTATCCACTGGATATTATGGGCAGGGTACAAAGTATCTTTCTTTTCTAGCCAGATGGTGGGCAATTCTGAAATGATTTAAAATAACCAAAAAATTCTCCCATTTGGTAGACTTGAAAGGATTCTGATGATGGTGTATACCGTACTTATACTGTACTTGGGTCCAGTGATTGAGACTAGCTCTTTCTTTCTAAGGGGCCCAACTGAGTAGGTTTATCCTTCCCTATCCACCTGAAGACGGACACAGATCCAGTCTCCAAAACGTCGTGTTTTTTTTTGTCTTTTATATACCAGACGATGGGTGAAGTCCAAAATAAGCCAAAAATAAAGTACAATTCTCCCATTTTTGACCATTTCCACTGAATATGTGCATGTTCCATTTCTTTGGAAGGGGCATATTGGATTCTGGCAGTCTTCAAATTCTTCGTAAATTTTGTTTGGCACAAGTACTTTCTTAATCTCCATATGCTAGGCATTTCATTCATTAACAATGCCATCATTACACCACAATAAATTATGGTAAAGTTTTCCCTGTGCTTAATTAATCAAGCAACAACCAACAGAGGCTCGCCTCTACTTAGTGCCAAGGTCATGAAAATGTAGGTCTATACATCCACTGCCCCATACCTCTTCATGGCATAGTGCTTAATTACTTATGCACATGGAGTTTACCTTTTTACACACCACGAATATGTCTCAGAGAATGGACGTACAGCTCCATCATTCTCGACCTCGGCACTAGATGGACGTAGATGGAGGTGGTCATCTTCAGCACCTTTGTCTAAGGAGGGTCGGGTACGTAGAATATAGGGGTTGGGTGGGCCCCACAGCCAGTCTAGACCGTCTAGACGCTGTAATGTCCTGAGAAGTTGTTAAGGTTAGGTGGGAATCTTTAATTTATTCTTCATTATGTACGCATTAAATTTACAAATAGCGTTCTTCAAAACGGCCAATGTAACTGTATATAAAAATCCGATGTAAAGTGACGAAATAAAACTCAACATTATATTTTACTTACAAATGAAATGTTTATACCACTACTCTTCGTACTACTTCTGCACGCAATAAAGCACGTTCAGTGACCACATTATCACATGTCTTCAAAATAATCACATTACAGACCACGGATCATACACAGCACCGTGCTCTAGCTTACTACGAACACGGTCAAGGAGGTCAAGGATTTATAATGCGGATCACGTAGCTGAATCGTCATGGTAACGCGTGCAAATGCAACGACAATAAATCTGTTAGTACAATATCCCTTAGATGGTGTTAATACTGGTAAATACTGAAGTTTTGTTTTGTTTTGTCTGTTTCAGGTCCCGCTCATATCTTATGCCTCAACGTGGCGAGCGGTTGAAAGAAAGAAAGCAAAGAAGGATCCAAATCCGAAATTGAAAACGCTGCTAAGTTATTCGCTATCTTCCTTGGCAATTCTCCTACGACTGATAGTTTCTTCGTGTTTGTCTGTCGGTCATTTTATATTTATTGTGCTGATTTTTAACAAATTTAGTAATTATATAATTTGTAGGTACACATGTACTATTATAGTTGATGTTCAGCTCAGTTCGATTATTAACGTAAACACAGTATACGTATACATACAGGATGTTTCACGACTTTAGGGCATAACAGCAGGAGGTGATTTCCTAGGTCTTTGTGATCGAAAAAGTTCATAAAAACTCAGACATTTGAGAGCCGAACATCTTTATGGACCACAATGTCCAGGACATCACCTCTCCCATCAGAAACGAAGTGGGTAGGATATTGTAGCGCCAAAATTTCAAAGTTACAATTAACAGAGATCCTAAAGCTTCAAACCAGAAGCGTTTGCGACGTTACTATTCCAAACAGGGTGCTTTGCTTTCAGATCACCTGCCAAAATGGATTTTGTTCTAAAGTTTAAGAGCTCTGTGATATCTGCATCTCTGCACGCTCTAAGTGGAGATTTATAAACAGATGCAAGCAGCATTTCAGTATGACAAATCGGTATGCAGACCCCCATTGCTTCTACTGAAAGGAGGGGAGGCAGGTCAATGTGTGTATGTGGGATTCCCTTTTTGACTGCAACGGCAGTTCCGCCCTTATGCCCGTTGTGGCAATCATTCATATATATATGATAATTTGGAATATAGAATCTCATGTGGTCTCAGATGTGTCTCCGAGAAAAGGGCCACATCTGTTTTTAGGTCTTGCATCTGTTTTTGTAGTTCATAGGTCCGTCTCCCAGTGCCGTTGGCAATGAACGCTACAATTTTCAGAGGCCTATGGACTGTTACCACCATTGCGATTCAGTAGACTAAAAACAGCCTTGGTGATAACTGCAACTTTTTCCTCCTCTGATGCAGCACCTGAGAGCCCTGTCATAATCTGCTGCAACGAACATGTCCGTTGCATTAATATTTACAATTTTTGCCTGCACTGACTGACCTGAAGCTTTATTGGTGAATTGTTGAATCTGGGGACTTTTAGACACTTTCTGCTGCGCTGAGGGTTGCTTTGCTTCCACTGAGCTGTGTAGAACAGAGGCGAATGTCCGATCGGCTGTTGCATATTTGGAGAAGAACGTTCTTCCTGAAGACCCTTGTTTTGTCACGCGTTGGCTCTTCCTTCACCGCAGCTCCTCCTTCGCATGACTGCAGCCCCTGTAGTTGGTTGGATGTGGTGATTCCCCATCTTTCAGCTCACAGTTGCAGCATCTTGGGATGCTCTCGGTATTCTCCTTTTCCAGGCATTCACGGTGGCAGTGACCACCCATACACCGTATGGACCGAGGAGGCTGCCTGCAGTGAACCCAAATGTGGCCAAAACACTGGCAGTTGTAGCACTGGGTCAGACCATTTCTTGATTTGTAAGCTTCTACTTTCACAATTATGTTGCAGAAGTTTGTGATTTTGAAGATTTCCTGGGATTTGTGGTTTCTCGCCAGGGTGACAAGGAAAAGGAAAAGGGATACGAGGGTGTCTCCTCCTGTCGGAGAAGGACGTTTCGCCGTCATTTGCTTGACGCTGATGACTTCGTAGCCCAGCTCCTGGAGGGCCACTTTGAGGTCTTCTGACGAGGTGTTACTCGGCAGATGCCTGATAACATCTTTCACAGGTTTGTCTCCTTTGGTGTAAAAGGTAAAGAATGGGAGACCTTTTTGACTCAGTACATTTTGTGTGGCTTTATAATCTGCCATATTTTTGGTTGTGATTCGGGTACTGGATGCGGTGTTCTGGAAGAATTCCCCTGTCACAACAGCTTTCATTTCTTTCTGAAGGCTGAGGAGGTTAGTCTCAGAAGTTAGGATTATAGGTGGTGGTCTGCCTTTGCCAGTGTTGTCTTCTGTAGATAGCCCTTCGCCACTTTCTGCTCTGTCCATGGGTACGGACCTGAGGATGGCAAAGAAATTCTTTGTTGCTACAGGCCGCGGCTTTTGGTAGACTGGGAGTGGTCTAGAGCTTTCCTTTGCCTCCTCTTGGTGCTGCTGCTGCCGTCATCAGAGTCGCTGTTTCTCTTTCGACGTCTGCTGTGGGGTGCATCCTCTGTGTCTTGAGTGGGTTCTGGCAGGAGACTCCACCAGTTCCCTGTATATTGCTGCGTAGCATCACAGCTGTGTGAAGCTAGAGTGAACTCATATATATGATGTCTAGGAAGAGGCCAGGTGGAGATAAATGGAGTAAGAGACAGTGGAGAAGATGGATGGTGAGGAAATAAGCTGTTAATAAAACAGCCAAAGAAGACTAGAAGAACTGAAAGTGTAGAGTCCATGCCATGGAAAGAGCAGTGTGCACAGGCTAAACCTGGAGAACCATGTCAGAAGAAACCTGTGAGGGGCCTCTAGCATTCCTTCAGGGAGAAGATCAGACATTTCCATGACTGACTTAACAGATGCCATACGTTCTGTTCCTGTAGCTGTTATGAAACTCGATCTCAATTTCCTCCCTGATGATATGGTCCATGTATCTCAATTTATTGGAGAGGATACTGGTGTCCCAAACTGATGCTGTGCTTGGCCAAGGCAGATCTGTCCTGAAGTTCAACTAGTATGTTCCAGTGGTGCTCCCTAATGCTGGTATCAAGTGGCCTGTTTGCCCCATGTAGACTTCACCAGATGCACATGGGATGCTGAATACCCCTGTGTCTCCAATCCTAAGTCATCCTTGACTGGCTGCATGAAGCTCGAGAAACTCCTCAGTGGGAGGGCAACAGGCTTGAAGCTGTGCCAGGACAGCACCCTCCTAATATAGTTGAATGGCAGGAAAGTAACTGAGTCAGGATCAATATGGGGCAAAGCAACTATCACAGTAGGACTGAGAGCCCTATGAATCTGCCAGTAGTTGCAGCTGTAGGGGCATGCGGTAGTGTAGTACGTTGAGGCACTATGCTACAAGCCGCAAGTTCACTGGTTTGATTTCTGATGACCCCATTGGATTTTTCAATTGATCTAATCCTTCCAGCTACACTATGGTCCTGGGGTCGACTTAGACTCTACCAGAAATGAGTACCAGAAACCTTCCTGGGGGGGGGTAAAGAGCAGCCAGCATATAAAGCTGACATCCTCACCACCCTCTGTGAGCCGACTGTCTAGAAAATGTGGGAGCCTAGATGTCTCACTACCTTATGGGTCTCCATAGCCTGTTACAAGGATAGCTTTTTTCTTTTTTGTTCTACCTAAATGTGATCTTGTGCTGTCTCTGAACTATAAAGTGTAAGAACCCAGAAGATTGTACTACACACAGTCACCACTGTGTGAATTTAAAATCCAACAAATTAGACTCGTATTACTAGATTTAATGAAGGCATTAAGAAGATCTGTTCTAATATGAATGGACGATGAAACAGGTGACTGTTTAACATGTGAACAAAGAAACATGACAACAGTATACATAACCAGTAACAAGCTGATATCTGGTATGTTGCGCAAACTGTCGTATTCCACTCTATATCTTTATTCCAGTTTCCAAAGTGGAACTTCAGATTTGATCCTTCATACACACATGCAATATTCAATACTATTTTCAAGAGATCATCAAAAGGACACACATACACAAACACACTCCGGACACCTTGCACTGAGTTACTTCCTTTAGTCAAATTCAAGGCGATAACCGATGCTAGGACACATCAGGCACTACAACAGGATCTGGGTCAGGTTCAGCTGGGATTGTAATCCCACCCGTGTCCACACCCTCCTCCTCTTCTTCCTGAATGGCCAGGAAGCAAGGTGCTGTCTCATCATCCTCAACTTCTGTACCACCTTCCTGTTGTTGAGTTGGAATCTGGATGGTAATAGTCTGTGTTGTTCCATCCTCAGAAGTTGCACTACCTGTCAAATTAGCTTGCAGTGGACTGCCATCTGTTGAAAGTGCATTGAGGCAACGGTAGATAAGATGTGCAGCTGCCACATTGCCAGGAAAAACCTCTATTTCAGCTGGAAAAAGAAAAGTGAAAAGAAATCCATAATGCAGCTGGAAATTCCAAGAACAGAAAATCGAAACTGACATCTGATGCTAAGTTTCTCTCAATCCTTCATTAAGCAATGTACAACTGCATAACGGGTCCTGGTTGTGGTCTTCTTGGTTTTGATATCATGTAGCTACTGTTGGTGAAAACCAGAGTTTTGGGGGAATACTGCCTCCATCTTCAGGGCTGCAGCGAGGTGAGCATGCATTGGAGTGGGGGGAGACACCCTGCTCTGGGTCAATAGGAATACAGAAGAGGAAATTCAAGAACAAAAAAATTCCCTTATCAGCAACCATAATAGCAATGTTGCATGAGGGGCATGGAATTGTGAGCCAAGTCTGGGTCAACAGAAATATGGAACAGAAAATTTGGAGGAGAGCAAAAAATTAAGAAAAATCCCTTATCATGGATCAGCACAGTTATGTTAACAGAGGGACATGAAATTGTGAGAAAGCAGCCCTTCTTAGGGTCATGTGGATGGGAAGTGAGAAAACAGTTATTTTCAGAGCCCAAGTATAGAAGAAGTAACTTTTACCTGCATGTCTTTAGAGAGACCTTTCTTCTCCAATCTTTGAAGGAGTGAATAAGATTTCCATTACTCATCCTCCCTACTTAAGTTGTTAGGGTGAAGCTTTATTTCCATCACTTCTCCATGAAGTGGTCCCTGTACATAGACTTCTTTGCTATGAGCCTGGTGTTAGTGGGCAGGATACAATCCACCAAGATCAATGTTGTGTTCTACCATGACTGACTTCTCTGACTCACACAGTCAGATATAACAGAGGTATTCATTAACCTTAATCATGAGAGAATGACCAGGGTGTATGATGTATACCTTCCCACGCTTGAAGCGGATGCTATATACACTCAGTTACCTTTCAGAAATCGAGGTAAACCTTAACGTTGTGTTTGGATAGTACCCCACTAATGTGGTTGAAGGTGTCTTAGGATGAGGGGCAGGAAGTCCCCTGAAGTGGGGACCTCTCTAGGAACACTGCCTTGCTGCTGAGGTGGACTGACAGCATGACGAACATGTTTGGTTCTGTAACTCTTTTCACAAAGGTTCTCTAGAGTATGTGCTGTTCAGTATGAAAACTCTACTTCAGATGATGCTGGCCCTGAGGTGGACAGAACCATCAGCTTGTTTGCAGGATGCTGATGTGACTTAGCATTCAAGAGTGTAGATCAGCTATTTGGTCACCATATGACTCAAGCTCCCTATAAACTACCTGCAAACCCCACTGATGATCCCTCTACACTGATGGCACATTCAGATCAGAAAAATTAAAAGGTTCTTGGACTACCTAACGTGGACATCAATATTTAATAAAAGATCAGATGGTTCCTTGAGTCATACCATACACTGAACAAAGATCCACGTAAAATTGATATTTGAAAGCTAAGTTGCACTATCACCATAAGCACATCGTTTAAGCCTTTCATCCATTACCTGAAGGAGCAGAAGAACAACATTTTCTCCCAAGACATGAAAGTCACTGCCTCCTCTACATGGAATCCAGCACGATCTGTCTTCTTACCTCCCATCCACACGTCCCCAAAAAGGGCTACTTTTTTTACAACTGTAAGTCCCTCCTGCAATGTAACTATTCCGGTCCTCAGTAACGATCACTTTCTTCTTCATATTTTCTGTTCCCTATTTCTATTGGTCCAGAGTCCATGCCCCTCCAGCAACACCATTAATCTGGTTGCTGATAAGGTCAATTTTTTGCTCTTGTATTTCCTATTCTATATTCCAATTCCTCTTTTACTGTGAATGAGAGCGACCATCTTTCTTGCAATCTACCTGCAACCTGACTGCAGGCTTGCCCCATTCACTTCAACTCTAAATATAGAGGCAATACATTAATTCAAAATGCTAAGATCCATCTATACTAACTACATGGCCTCACAACTAAGAAGATCACAACCTTCTTCAAAACCACAATAATTTGTTTCTCACTTCAACTTGCAAACTTTCAACTGAAACTGTGATGTGTTGTTTTACAAATATACAACTTAATTCTTGAACATAAGAGTGTCTTAAAATCATATATTGAGGAATGCAATATCATATGCATGTTTAATATTTTAAGGTTAACATTAAAGGTAGAGTTTGACAAGTTGTACATTAAGCCTGTATGCAGGAAACAATACCATGCAGAAACTGCTATAGAAATTACTTGAAATGTAGACACTCAGGAGACTGAAACCAAAATGGCAGAATTTTAAAATATTTGTCATGGAAAGAGAATATGTGACCTGAACTGGATTCAATTGGTTAAGTCAGGGTATAATGACAGTTTAATGTACTAACCATGGTTCTAATACCATTGAAGTCCTGAAAGCGTGAATAATACCTTCCTTTTTCTACTTACTACTACAGACACAAAAACTGTTCATTACCTTCAGGAGGCGCTGAAGAAATGAGGCCATTCTTATGATCAGACACATGCTGCAGGAACCCCTCCTGACTGATTGTTCGGAATGAGCACTGTGTGCAGCTAAATAGTCCCTGCATGCCTGGGTGCTTACTACGTAAGTGGTTCTTGTATGAACTACTCTGGATTGCTGAGTAATCACAGTGTGGACAACGGTATGGCCGCTGTCCAGTGTGCCTCATGGTATGCCGACGCAATGAATTGTGGTCCCCAGTCCGGTATTCACACAGGGTACAGCCATAAGGCTTCTCACCTGTATGTTGACGAAGATGCATCTGCAGCATGGCCTTTCGAGCTGATGCATGCCCACACACCTGCGAACAACACAAACACTATGTAGGACAAGTGACACTGGCTTAGACATATCAGTTGTCTACTTCTGTTCAAGAACAAATTGGGTCAAATTTTAATGACATCAGATGAAAAACATAATTTATTACCTTGTGAAATTCCTGTGTTCATAAGCCCATACACTCCAGACTCACAAATGCAATGAAATTAGTTTACATGTTTGCTGCCAACTGATAAGCGCCTGCTTTAGGTACTGATAACTCACATACAGTCTCAGTAGCTCTGCTTCTGTCAATGGATTACTGCTGCAATTTGGTTTCCTCTCATTACACTGGCACTTGGATTGATGGTCAGATAACTGCCCATAAATTTGGGGTTTACCCATGTTTTTGAAGTCCAGAAAGCACAGAAGATAAAACAGATAATTCTTGTAACTCAATTTCCTGCTCTTTAAGATTAAAACCAGCACAACATGCTGCACTAAAAACTTAACGAGTATAATGCAATTTCAGATCTACGAGAAACAACAAGCGACAATCCTGACAGTGAATTTAGTAATGGTAATAACAGGAATAGCAACAGTCAATCTGGCTATTGTAAAATTATCTTCTACTCCTGTTTGAAAAATTCTAACTCTAGCCACACTCAGTCAGATGGATCTCAAACTATGAAAACAATATATATATATATATATATATTTCTGACAGCCCCTGTCATCTAGTGGCCAGAGTTCCTGGCTAGAGATCCAGAGGTACTGGGTTCGATTCCCGGCACTACCATATTTTCTGAGAAGTAGTGGGTCTGCAACGGGTGTTCACTCAGAATTGTGAGGATAATTCAGGAGCTACCTGAATGGAAAAATAGCAGCTCCGATCTAGAAAATCGAGATTAATGGTCATGGGAATCCATTGCACTGACCATGTGACACCCTCTATCCACAAAGGTTGACACTAACTTAGTCGAAAAGCGGTGGTTGCTCAGTCAGTATAGTTCGCTTGCATACTAAAAGCCATGGAGTTTGTTTCTATATATACTTTCACATGTTGGGTATGTCACGCGACAAATAAATTCACGTGGCTCGCTGTTATTGCGTTACTGTGGAAGTGCCTATTCCAAACATGTGACATTGCTCCATTCTAAAGGTTGTTCGTCCCAGAACAGCCTAAAGGTTCTTCCTCGGTGTTCTGCTGGCAACGTTTGCATTTGCTCTTGTTGTTCTGCTGGCGTCTCTTTTGCCCTGTTCATCCTATTGCAGCCGCCCCTCTCTTCAGTGGTGCTCGTCCCAAGCACTCCCATAGTCAAGAATTTGTTGGTCCCAATATCTCACATTCATTCCTCGCTCATTCAGTCTTCATTCACCCTTGCACGGGAGGCGGGTACTTCTACGATGGGGTACCCAAAAGAAACCGAACTAATTTTTTTGTGGGCAAAGCTTTTGTAGTACCGCGTTTTGCCACTATGAGCGCATAGAGCTAACATTCCTGAGTCGATAAGCCGACTACCGTTGCTTCAGAAGGTAAGGACTAGTTTCGGCAGAGTTTATAGTGACAACTGTTTCGTGTGATCGTCGTTTTTGCAATGGCTGATTTTCGTGAACAGCGTGCGGCGGTGAAATTCTGCTTTTTGCTCAGGAAAAGTGGAACAGAAACTCTTGAAATGTTAAAAACGGCGTACAAGGACGATGCTATGGGGAAAACTCAAGTGTTTGAGTGGTTTTCCCGTTTCAAACGTGGTGAAATGTCAACTGATGACAAACCTCATTCTGGTCGTCCTTCCACAGCCCGAACACATGAAAACGTTGAAAAAATTCGTGACATCATCAAGGAAGATCGACGACGGACCATTGAAGAAATTGTGGAGCTGTCTGGAGTGACTTGGAGCTCAGTTCAGTGAATTTTGACAGAAGATTTGGGAATGAAAAGGGTGGCTGCGAAATTCGTGCCACGGCTGACTGCTGAACAAAAACAAGGTCACGTGGAAGCATGCTGTGCTTTGAAAGAAGTGTCCCGAAATGATCAAAACTTTTTTTTGTTTCCTCGAATGAAAAGAGACATGAAAGGAAAGCGTTTTGCTGATGTTGCTGAGGTGAAGGAAAAAACGACGGAGGCGCTGTCAAGCATCTCAAAAGATGAATTTAGACAATGTTTTGAAAAATGGAATAAAAGACTAGACAAGTGTATTAGTGTAAGTGGAGAGTATTTTGAAGGGGACTGAAGGTTTGTGCTTAAAATTTGAATAAATAAGTTAAAAAAAAAATAAGTTCGGTTTCTTTTGGGTACCCCCTCGTATGTTACCAGTTCCTCCCATATGGGCCATTTCCTTTCTTCTGTTTTGGAAGGGGTTGGCCCCTCCACAGTCCAATTTTTGATGCCCTGTAATATGCAAGAAAACTCTACTCCTTGTTGCCCGATAGCCAGCCCTTGGGTCTTCCTGAGGGTTTGGCTGGCTATTCTCTCGTTCCCAAGATGCAGCCGCTGTCTTGTGTATTCATTCTTCACTCCAACGCTGCCCTCTGGTTCCACCTGAAGTCTCTGCCCTCAGGGGGCTCCTCTTGCAACGTTGTTCCTAGTCTGGTTGTTCCCGATGATGTGTCCCCTGCGCCATGCCACTGTTGCACGGTGGGACGTGTTTGGCCCGAGGATGTCTTTCATGCGTCGTGCCACTGTTGCGTGACGGGACATCCTAATGTCGCTTCTCTTGCTGTGCCACTGTTGCATGGTGGCTTGTCCCTCTGTGGGCGATGGCCAGTTTCTTCTGGAGTCCAAGATTTTTCCATGTCATATCCTTTGGTTCGTGGCAGCGGTGCTCCCCGGCCAGTTTTCAGTCACTGCCTTTTCTTCTTCAGTTCTCCGACTGGCATTACTTCAGTGTCTTCTATTGGTACCTCTCGTTGCTTTGCCACCTTAGGTGTCATGTCCAGTGAGGTCGGCTTCTTCTCATCTCGACGTGCCTCCATCTCTTGGCAGGCCATCGTCTCATTGTGGCTGGCGTCTATCTTTTCTCTCCAGGATCTCCAATTGGCCATCATTTCTGCATATCTGGCTTCCACCTTTTCTTCACCAGCTATGATTTCCTTCAGCAGCAGTTCCATCATCTGCTGTGAGTCCATTATAGCTCCTGTGGCGTTATAGTACTTGATGTGGTGTTAGACCAATAATTCTTCCAAATTCACCTCAGAATCCAAACTGATCCCGCTACTAACACCAGTTTTCACGTGCTGGGTATGTCACACGACAAATAAATTCACGTGGGTCTCGGATTTAGCGAATCTTTATTGGACACTCACACTTATACACCATACAATTATTATCACTTGTGGTATCATGTGACTTCTGCGATGTCTTGACTATTCTTGGCTGTGGCTGGATCTCAACTGTCTTCTGTCTGTATCGTATGGCGACTAGGTTCCAATTGTGTTCTTGCTGTCTGTAGCTCTTGGCTTATGTAGGTGTTCTGTGGACTCAGTAGAGGACACCCCTCGCCAAGGTTCGATCTCATGTGTTCGGCAATCCGTTGCTTCGGGAACGCTCCTTATACACTGGTAACGAGTTTCATCTCATCCGTTGTTCATTTCCGGGGAAACGTGCTCGTTGTTTCGGCACTGTCTACGCAATGGCTCGCTGTTATTGCGTTACCATGGAAGTGCCTATTCCAAACATGTGACAATATATTTACACACACACACACACACACACACACATTGCCTGTCTTCTTCATTAAGCATAGGGGGAGGTACAGTTCTATGCATTCTTAACTTCAGTACCAGATGGATGTGAGTGGTCAGTGGTCTGGATGCTGTGAAAAACAGAAAAACTGCTTGCCTCTGTAAAGCAATCAAATCTCAGTTCTTCCACTGTTCAACATGTTGCCCTGATCCTACTCAGGCACAGCTATCAACTAACTTCATTAGTTCTGTCTTTGCACCTTTCAAGACATTACACTCAAGCAAGCAGCAAACACTTGCTATCTAAACATTCAAGACTTTAAGACTGTTAAAATTCTAATGATGCTGGATTATAAAGTCGCAGCCATGAAGTAGGTTATCTTGGTCATGATCAGATATTCACACCACACATGGAATGAGATGATGATCATGGTGGCAAGTGTGTGAAATCTTGAATTATTTCTTAATTTGTGAACATGGGGCTTAAACTCTTAATGGGGACATATACAGCATATCACCACCATTCCTTCAACATGTTAAAATTTTCAGACTGAATTTCTTGCAAATACTAATTCTCATAATGTGCCAAAAAACTGCTATCTACACAGTGCTAAGGAACCACGATTCAAGATTTGCTTAATAATGACCATGAGGACGATGACACAAAACAACTTTTTTTATTTCCACAAATTTTATTTAATTATGGAGGACCCCTTGTGCAAACAGTCTCATACCTGACACACATATGGCCGAAGCTTGCTGTGAACAGCTTGTATGTGCTTCTTCAGACACTTGGAATCAGCATAGCTCTTGAAACATATATCACAGCGCTTGGATGCATACCTATCGACATGCATAACATTAGTAATCTTACAATATCTATACATCATAATACAGTATTCACCTGACTATAAGATGAGGCTCTTTTCATACATGGACATCTAAAATCCAAGGGTCATCTTAAATTGGCATATTTATATAATATTATCCTTCTGCAGGTAACCTTAATTTGATGTAGTGGTGGGGTTTGCATGGTCATATGATCCTGAGAGCAATGCTGACAGTAGTCCAGCTGCTGGTTGGGTCTCCCATGGCAAACAGGTCAAAGGTGGTGATCCAGACAAAAAGACATACCCTGATCCTCCAGGTTGAGGGCTCGCGCATGGGTTTGACAACCCCACCCCATAAAAATCCTTAATTGTTGAGAATCTTTTAATCCTTTCCAGTCGTATATAATCAACATGGAGACAGTGCTTCCACAGATGAGTGTCGACATATGATCGACAAATTTTCTTTTGTGTTTCTCCAGTCACATCATAACCATATGTCATTACAGGCCATTGTTTACTGTGCCAATGCATTCATGAGTGTTTTGTCTGCCTTTTCTGCCATCTGGAAGTCATAATTTGAAGTTCTTGAGGAATCAATACCACTTATATATTAAGGGGTGTCACATGTTAGCAGTATGGTGTCATGTTCCAGCAAACCTGTCCCTTTTGGTTCCAAAAAACGAAAAAAAAAAATCCTTTGTGTGATGCAGATGAAGCTAGTAGTGATACAGTAAATTAAGAACTGTGCCTGACGAACTCTAATGATAAGATGGATTTGTAAACTGAAGGAGAAACTGCAAGTGAAGAATCGGGAAACAAGAAGTCAGAAAGTAAGAGCGACAGTGAAACAAGTGACATGAGCGTTGATGGGTGGAAAGAAGTGACAATGGGCAACAAGACATTCATTCAAAGCATACACATTTACCAAGAATGCAGGGCCACAATTTAACGTTATGTCAGATGCAGAGCCCATGGATTATTTTAGTTTATTTTTCGATGATGAGCTTTTGAATAACATTATTATGGAAACAAACAGGTACATGAGAGGAAATTGCAGAACATAAGCTAAGCCCAAGGTCCATTTGGAATGTCTAAGTTCCTGAAATGAAGGCATTTTAAGATCTAATTATAAATATAGGCCTAATCATATTACTCAACATAAAAGACTACTGGTCTAGTGAGTGGACAATACAGGAAAAATGTTTTGGTGATAATGTCTAAAGATCACTTTTTACAGATATTTTGGATGATAAATGGAAATGATATCACCAAAGAAAAACACAGAAAGTACATGAGGTGATAGAACATATTGTTTCAGAAATATTTTGTGCCAGGTAAAAACATTGCAATATATGAATCAACAGTTAGGCTCAAGGGAAAAATAATTTTCAAAATTTATAATCAAAAAAAAAAAAAAAACCAAAGAAGTGTGGCATCAAATTATTTGTATTAGGTGACAGTGACACTGGTTATGTTCACAGTATAATTCCATGTTAAGGAAAACTTACAGGTGATGTTTGTACTTTGCCATACTCTGAAAAAGTGTCCACTTCAAGAACAGATAGACAGACTACACTGACAGATGTTACAATAGTGTTCACTTGGCTCAAGAACTGGACCATCGGAAATGCCACACAATTGGCACTATTACTAGTGGAAGAGTTAGCAATCAGAAGGCGGTGAGGCAGGGGGGCCATGAACAAATGAAGAGCGGTGACACTTGTTTGTGCCTACAGAAGGGAGATCTTCCTGATAATGGGCTCATGTCTACATAACACATCACTGGAAAAAAAGGGTGACTATTCAGAAGGGGGGGGGAGACAGAAATTCAAAAGCCAATGTGTGTACATGATTACACAAAGCACAGGGATAGTGCACATTGCAATGATCACTACTGCACCACATATACTTTAATTCAGAAATCTCTGAAGTGATGGAGAACACTTTTTTCTGGTGCCTGTAAGTGTGCATTGTAAATTCATGCATTCTGTACTGCAGCCAGACAGCACAGATGGGAAGGAAACAAATGTCACATGTCAGGTATTGACGAGCTCTTCTTGAAAATCTAGTAGGTGATGTGTGCAACTCCAAAAAAGAGGTAACATCTGGGAAAAGCAGACTGGAAAGACAGACTAAATAAAGTGTCTCACTTTCTCTACCATTATGACACAAAGAAACACACAGACTGCATTGTGTGCAGCAATGAGAAGGTCAACAGAGACATATTTCTATTGTAAGACCTGCATACAAGGTCTGACAATAAAGTTTGCAAACTGATCACCATGTGCATGCTGTGGCAGCAGTGGACAGAAACCTCAGAATGGTTTGATGATGTTGGCATACCAAGTTTACTATTTCGAAGTACTGAAAAGGGTGCATGAAGAAGTTAGACAGAAATGACCCAAACTTTTTGCCAACAACTCATGGATCTTGCACATGGCAATGCACCTGCTCAAATGGCACTGTCTGGGAAGGAGTTTTTAGCTAGTAAACAAATAACTGTGCTGGAACACCCTCCCTATTCACCAGATCTAGCCCCCAGTGACTTTTTCCTGTTCCTGAAGATAAAGGAAATACTGAAAGGAAGGCATTTTGATGACACTGATGACATCATGGGTAATTTGATGGCAGCTCTGAATGCCATTTCACAAATCCAGTTCAAAAATTGTTTTGAAGGGTGGGCTAGGCACTGGCATTGGTGTATAGCTTCGCAAGGGGAGTATTTTGAAGGTGACCACAGTGATATTCAGCAATGATGTATGTAGCACTTTTACTGCGATGAGTTCGCGAACTTTATTTTCAGACCACAGAAATCAACCAGTCACGTGTACTGGGGAATGTTTTGAAAGATATCACATTCTCAGGAACTTCAAAAGGTTTAGTGTAGGTCCAATAGTTTTTCGGGGTTTACTGTTTGTGTACATAGAAAAGTAAGTGACAGTCATAACAAGAAAGGAATATGGATATAGTTTGTATTAGAGAACAGAGACATTTTGTGCCTATGAAGCATCACTACCTCTCCCCACAAACCTGATCTCATACATCCCTACAAAGCAGTGAATTTGCTTTCTTATATTGTACTGATACTTTGTGCTTCCTTCACTCTATGCCTTTGTTGCACCAAATTTTCAGGCAAAATATTCACTTAGTGGCTCAGCGGGCATTTAAATCACCTTCACATCCTGACTGCAGAAATTTCTAACGATGTGATGACTGCAAAGGATTAACAAGAGCAGCCAGATGGACATACATAAATGGAGAAGAAAGTCACAGGATCAGGAGCAATGGTGAGCAATCGTAACAGAGGCCAAGGTTCATCATAGACTGTAGAGCCTACAAAAAAAGAGGAGGATGAAGAAGAAGAACGGGAGGAGGACGATGAGGAGATACTATGATAGAGCTAATGTTCTCAGGTCATCAGTAGTAATCTGCATGTGATGTTTTAGGATGGCTAATGTGGCCATTTTGTAGCACTGTCTCATCCATTTCAAAGCCAAGAAGTGGGCTTCAATGTATGAAGAACAAATGCTGCAGTGTACAGTACCATCTGCAATCAGGGTGTCTGATGCCCAAACCATTAACACACATTCAAACTATGTCCATATTTATTTGTATGAGAGTAAGCAGGTAGGATACAGTAGTACTCATGGGTGACTATGTTGAAAGAGAGGTTTTACAGTGTCACAGATATCAAACTATGATAAGATCTTTAAATCCCTTATATCAGTAGTCAGCGCAGACCAGTTCAAAAAAAGCTAGTCGACAGTCATATTTTGGGCAGCCATACTGTTACATGTAAGCTTCACTTATGAGTTCTGTTCTACCATATTGTTCATGGTTGAATTCTGACCCCTTGAGCTTGCAAATTGTAACTGTTGCCATCTGAGGCTTAAATGGAGATTTGACAAGAGTGTTATACACTTCTGCCTGCTCTGAGGCTTGCTACAGCATACGCAGGTGGTGTCAGGTATCATTAAATTCCAGTGAAATACGGTGGTCAAAAAGGATGTGGAAGAAATCAGTATCTGCACTGCAGTACAAAAGTACATGCCTGATGCTAGAGAGATCAAAGAAGTAAAGTATGTCAATTTCACGTGAAAAATATATGGAGGGCTCAAACAAGGATCATAGAAAAATGAAGAACAAGTGCTTACGTCTGCGCTTGTAAAACACAGATGGGATCCGCATCCCACAAGAGGCATATGTGACAGCATTGGAAATTATCTCATCAATCTAAGTTGGATAAGTCTATTATTTCTTTCTCTCTCAATACACAATCTCATCCTTCTCACACACCCATTCCCAAAATTGTCTTATTTATTTCAGTAACCCTTTTCTGTCCAAAGACAATTCTCCATTCTCTATTACAGTCCAATATGCTACAGTTATCAATTACAAGATTAATGGAGGTAAGTTTAAATATTGTAAGATTTGAGGCTTTCACGGCAGTGACTATGAAGAAAGCAGTCTTCTGGGATTTGGCACCATGTATATGTGGTGTTAACCGACGTTTCGGAGGAACGTATCGCCTCCATCTTCAGAGTAGAAGGAAAAAATATAAGAAATCCGCAAGCAAAGAGACCGTGAGAACCAGTAAAAGCAGACTGCAGACTGCAGACACCACATATACATGGTGCCAAATCCCAGAAGACTGCTTTCTTCAAGTTTAAATACCGTTTAAATTTATTACCCTCTCCTCTCTTGCTTCACTTAACAGCTTTAGCACTTGCTTAAACAGCAGTCCACTGCACTATCATATCAATTCTACTTGTGACATGCTTACCATCTTGGTACGGGGCCAGCTCTACGATCAAGGTGCATGACACGGTGATTACGTAACTGTGATGACTGTTTGAAGCCTTTGCCACAATCTGGACAAGTGTATGCTCGCACTTCACCATGTATTTTGATGTGATTCTCCAATTTCACTGCTGTCACAGTTTTATATGTATGGCAAACTGGACAACTTAACAGGCCTGCATCCACTGCATGTGCTTTCCACAAATGTAGAGCACAGCCACACCATCTTTCAAACCTGTAAAATTCACATATCTTTCTGGAAACTTGTCCTGGCACTTCTTTCCTTAAAAGTATACCCAATGAAATCCTAACATAAGGATCCCATATTTATGAGGCATTTATGCAGTCCCAGCCACAGTTCAATACAACTACTGTATTAATTTTGATGCAGTATTTCTTGATTTAAAGATTTTCCCACATGTTATGGTACTTAGGTAATTTTCATTTCATGCATCCTGTTGTGTTACAATAGACAACTCTTTTATCGACCGTCACAACACAACAAACAGAAAAAATCAAGGTTAGCGCCCAGCTACGGTTTCGCTACATGTTTCAGCCACTAACGGCCACCATCAGGCAAACACATATTAACAAACATATACCACTGAACTGCTGTACATTAGATTGGATACAATGTTATTAATCATTTAAAATACTTTGCGTAAAAATACAATAAGTCAGATTATATAAAAACTAAAAGTTATTGTATAAAACAAGATAAAACTTAATTGATGTTATACAACATCAAATCAGTCGTTGATTTTTTACTTTTCATACATTTCCATGGACCAATTGGAATTTCGATATTTCTTTTATATAAGAATGTATAGGAGGCCCATGATATTGCAAATAATTAATTGTATAGTTAGTGCCTCATCTTACGAAGGATTGTCCATACTGTATGGAAAGTAAACAATGACTTTTACTTCGTTTAATTTGGGAAATCTGAGCCATGTTTCATGTCTATGATATTGTGTAATTGTCACAAGGACACAAGACTGTGAAGTTCCACCAAAATGGATAGAAAACTGTAACACATTGAGCCAAATACTACTACTGCTACTAACAGCAATGAAAGCAATTTTTCTTTTAAGTTACAATTACCTGAGTATGTTTGCATATGTAAATATCATCAAAGTTGATTTGTCATAAAGGCTGGGAAAGGGGGTAAACTCCCCCCTGTGCTTAATTAATTAAGCATCATGCCAGGCTGATGTATGGGGGAGTGAAGTTATATAGCTCCACCATTCTTAACCTCAGCACTAGATGGAGGAGAGTGGTCTGCTTCATACCCCAGGGGAATCAGCTGCTGGTACCCACAGGACAGGAGGCTAAGTTAATTTGTCATAAATTAATAAATTAGCAATAAAATAAGATATTTAAACAAAATTAATACATGTTGCAACATGCATAAAATCCAAGATGGACAAGAAGGGTAATTTGCCCTATTAAAAAAAAAAAAAAGGAAATAGATGGGATTGTAATAATTACAGATGAATTATTTTACTGAATTGAGCTTTTGAGGTTTATGCTAAAATTATAACTCAAAGACTGAACACAGTTAATGAATATGCATTTCCAGAAGAACAATATGGGTTCCATACAGAATACTTATGTCCTGACAGGACATTTGTAATGGAGCAGCTTATTCAGAAAAGGAGGGAATTCAACTTGCCAATGTATATGTTATTTACAGACTATGAGAAGGCATTTGATAGAGTGCCTTGAGGTAAATTGCGGAATATAAAGATGAACAAAAGGATTCCCTGATCACAAAGTTAAAATTTCTCAAAGTATGCATATTAACACAAGGATAAAAACTGTCAAGGAACATCGGTTGGCAATAGGGAAATACATATAAATCAAGGAGTAAAACAGGAATGTCCAGTGTCCTCAACATTATTTAATATAGCTACTGATGAGATCATTATGCAATGGTAAGATGTTATAACCAAAGACTTCAAAATTGGTAATACAGTTTTACATATAAACCTATCTGCAGACAACTAGGATATTTTCAGTCGGATCAGAGAACCTTCAAAGAGCAGTAAAGTGATTTTAACACTGAGCAAATGGCTCTAACATGAGAATTTCAGATATAAAAATAAAAACCACAGAAGATGTAAAATAGGGAATGACAACAAAACAACAGAACAGGTATCAAGTTTTGATTATTTAGGTTTCAATGTATCATACTACCCAAAAAAAACACATGACTATTAAAGTAAGTACATTTCAAAGAATGTGTGGAATGATATGAAGAACACTGAGACAAAAGACCTTACAAAGTACAAAACTAAAACTTTACAAGAGTGGCAGTGCCTATGCTAACACAAGTGGCAAGTGGACAATAAATCAATCAGACAAAAGGAAACAAGTGTCAGCTGAAATGAGGCTCCTATGCCCAGCAACTGGATACAATCTCCTAGATCAAAAATGAAGTACAGACATATGTTCAGAATTTAAAATATTTAATTTAACCGAGAGACTAGAAAGGCAAAGAGAAAACTGGTTACATTGGTTACACCAGTGTCACGTGTCTGACTACTGAAGACGCCATTCGGATTGTTAATTGCTTTATTTGACAACCTACAAGTCGTAAGGGCTGCGCCATAGCTCAAGCGGTTAGTCGCTGGCTTCCCACAATGGCAGCCCGGGTTTGGTCAAGTGGGATTTGTGGGGGACAAAGTGGCGCTGCAGCAGGTTTTCTCTGAGTACTTCAGTTTCCCCTGCAAATCTTCATTCCACCAACTGCTCCACAATCACCCTCACCTATCATCTGGGGCTGGTACAATAGGCCAGAAGTGGCTGCAATACAAGGGACTTAGTCCCACCCCATTAGCACTAAAAAAAAACCCTACAAATCATAACTACAATTAATTGTGACACAGTTATGGGTTTACACACTTTACAAACCCTACACAATAACCTCTTCACTCTCTCTTCAGTAGACTTCATGTATTTATAACGTGGGAGCTATACAAGTGTCACTGAATTACACACTCCCAATACCTTCTCAGTTATCACAAACTATCACTGAAACACACATAAACTCTTCTAATCATGTGTCCGGTTCTTCTTCCACAGCTGCTATACTTCAACTGAACTTATAACATCTTCTTCACGTTCAAAATTCACTCACTACAACTGAACTCGGCGACTGCTAGACTTCCACTGAACTCTTTAGGCACTCCAGTTAGTCTTATAAACCTTCAGTCGGACAGAGGAAAACGAACCTTGCTTCACTGTTTTGTAATCGCCATGTTTACAGAGGCATTGCTGGGCAACGCTACCGACTGCCTAGCAATAGTCTCTGCATGGACTCCCCTGTTGGTGACATCACAGCCTAGTGGGGAAGGGCGTTTATCGAGCATTGCGTAGTGATGGAAGGAGTGGGGGTATGTGACGACACTCACGGAAAAGCAGAGTTCATGTGACCCCTACTTCCTGTTGTGTCATCCATGTTACAATATTTTAAGAATGACAATAGATAAGACTCCCAAAGATACTACTACATTATAAAAACAGAAGATCTGTGTGGAGGCAGGTTAGAATACCTCCACCATAGCCCTCCAAGTCATAAAAGATGACAGAAAGGGAACTTGGTGCCTGGAGGTAAAACTTGGCCATCCTATCATTGTAGGACATAAATACAGGGACCGGGTCCTCCAGGTTGGTGGTTGGATGCAAGGCTGACAACCTTGCTCTGTGATAAAAAATTGTTTGCAAAATCTAAAGGAGAGAAAACTGGATGTGATTTGGCAGAATATTCTACGGAAGGCTATGGATTAAAAAGGGGGTGTTTCGATGATGACAACAATAAACTCAGAGGACACTGAAGTATGACAACCCATAGCTAGATGGGAGGACATATTCTCTTAAAGTCCAAAACAGGCCAATGGCCTATACCCTTGAAGGAGAAGAAAATATTAATGATTAGTACAAAATTAATAAAAATATCTTTTACTTTTTATATGTAACTATACTGAGGACATAGAAAGAAGTCCTTACAATCATCTTTCTGCCTTCTGTTGTATTCCCCCTTCAGTCCCCTCTGGTTTATGCTGAACAAGCCCAAACTGCTTGTCCGTACCAGAAGTTATCACACAGTTATCAATACTGACATTCCTGTGAACAGAACAGCTAGACTGAACTGGAGTATCGGGAGGTATACTGGAGGGGGAAGTGTAACAGCAAGAGGGAGATATGGAGGGGGTGGATCCATTCGGCTTCTTTCCAAGGCAACAGTATAGTAACAGCAAAATAATCCGTTACGTGGTGACGTACCTCTCGCCACAAACACAACACCCGAATACTCGACGTGCTGCAGCAACATCAGCTTTCTCAGCACCTCCTGCTGCATGACATGAAACATGAATGTGCAGAGCATCTTCAGTGCTGAATTTGTACTGACAAGCTCGCTCCCCACATCTGAAGACAGAAACAAGAACAATGAAGGAATGCAATCTGAAGCATGTAGTGACACAGTCTGCTGCTCTGCAGCATGGTCATTCCATATGGGCTCAGCAGCAAGACCTGCTTGTGTGACTCAGATTGGTGTGAAATTGTGATAATTCAGGCTCACACAGCATTGAGACATGTAATGCCTCATAATTTGGTAGACAGGTATCAGTGTTTCAAAAGAAAGTACTGTCTTCATCTTAAGGAGAAGAGGCCCCTGAACAGCAAACTGAGACAGTCATTTCCTCTGAAACAATGGCCTACTAAAGCACACAACATCACATCACAGAAGACCATAACCTTCCTATGAAAATGCTTTCCAGAAATCACATCGATAAAAGCAGATTCCTTGATATTTCTGTTCAAAATATCTCAACTGATAGTTTAACAGACATAGTTCTAAATCAGAGTGTTCTGTTGGGTACTCAAAATACTTACCATTCTGTCAATAAATTAATTCTTATTGTCTTATATTATTACTTGGCACGTGTACCATCTTCAGGGCTAAAATATAAAAAAAAAATATCAACAAAAATTATGGACTACATTATGTAGTCAAGAAATAATACATAATGGAATGTATTTACTGTATTATAAACATTGTAAGCTATGAAGAGGTATAGCACTTGACTTTTGTCAGTTATTATATTGCTGTAACTACAGTGAAACTAGATAAGACAAAAAAAACAGTAGCCCATAGTGAATTTGGCCTGAAACGTGCAGTCACAACTGTAAACTGGTATATCCAGTGCTTTAGTGATAATAAGAAAAATAACATATTTGTTATCACAAACCTGCTCAAGAAAGTTTGCAAAAAGGGTTTAAAATGCAATGAGGAAATACTCAGAAGTTCAGTCATTAACACAATCTTAATACGGTGCTTGACCACACAGCTGCCATGTTTGTCTGACAGCTAGTACCATACAATGATTCCCACTATTATTACGTTCAAGGTATTCAAAATAAGAGCATTCACTGCTTTTGAACCCACATCAGGTTCAAATTTGACAACATGATCCATATATAATTTAAGTACAGTATATCCTTGATATAACAGACTAATTAGGGGAGCAGTTGTCCGATATTGCCGAATGTCTGTTAAATCCGAATGTCCATAAAATAGTGTCTGCATGAAACCAAAAGTCTGTTAAATAACAAGTGATATATTTTGAAGCACAACACAACTCATATTTACAAGAAAAATGACAACTTTTGCTATTAGGAAAGTAATAATTAGTCGTCTCTCTTTTAAAAAGAAAAAAAAAATTGAACATTATGTAGTCCATTCAGAAAAGGAATCAGTCTGCTCCTCTTCCAGGTTCACTGCAAGTGCTGGCACGAGACTGACACTGTTTGCTGAGGAGGAGCTAGGTTCAGATGACACAGGTTTGGGGAAGCTAATTGGCTTGAAGAAAGCACCTAACTTCCATTGTGTTTCGGAAGTTTGGCGCTTACAAATAATATCTCTGAAAGTCCGTGACAGTAACACAGCTGAAGTTCAGGATCAGATGATTAACTGATGAAGGTGATCTAGTTGCTGAAGAATTTTGCCTATTAAATCGGGGTCTAATAAATCAAGGATTTACCACATTACAGATTAACTGTTAGAAACTGCCGTGTTTTCACCAGTACAGTGACATCACCACGGAGGTGATTTACACATCCTGAGATTCTAAACTGCTTAAACAAGTATTCATTTTGCACAAATTTCTCATGCCATTATAAATTTTCATTATAACAAACTCCCAATGTACCAAAGAAATCAGCTAATATAATTTCATCTTGAATATACAAAGAAAAACGAAGCAACTAAAAATGATGATGCACACACCACGTAGAATGAAAAGTGACACCATATGGAATGATCAAATAGTATGCACTGTGCAATGCACACTCCTCATCTTGCAACATATCACAGACTGTTCCAGACAGTAGTATTTTTATAAACCCGCCCTCCTAGCAGCCATATTGCTCAGCTCTCACATTTCCTTCTCTTTTTGTCTTGTTTACTTTCAGATAATCATTTATTTGCCATCATAGCTAAAAAGTCAACTTGTTATACAGTCATTAGCTACTTGCATCCACAGTGCCTTTAAGGAATGGTCAAGTCAGGCTACCCCACTTTTGAGCAGAATATGCTACTGGCAGCTGAGTGCCTTTTATGTGATACATGGGCAGATGAAAACACTGTAAGATACACAGGGTCTCTGTTGCCACTTACCCCCTTTTCACTGCTAGGCAATGGCTCAGTAAACACATTCACATGACAATTAATACAGAAAACAATAAGAGAATTGTTGGACATGCATGTCTGAGTTTGTCTGTCTATCCTTGCTAATTCAGACTTCACTAATTCGGACAACTGCTTCATTCTTTGCACATTACAACCCTGTTGATCACGTTGCTTGTACCTAAACAAATTTTTAAGACTGATGTCAAAACTTACATTTTTACATTTAAAGTAAATTAAATATATTTTATGATATGCAATCTAAGTTTCAAAATAAAGTTCATTGCCTAAAAAGACATGTGAAGTCCATTTTTTAATTTCCTTGAACATGCTTTCAGTAGCACTTCTATAAATCAGAGCTTCGCCAATTTGGACAAGGGTTCACTCCCAATTAGTCTGAATTAGTGTGATCCTACTATACCACACAATGAAGATGCATGAAAGAGCATAAATATGGCACTATGCATTTGTGACCTTAGCATTAGGCAGAGGTGCATGGTCAAGGGTACATACATATATTTACCTGAGTCCATAACCTTATTCTTGGATTTCACTGTTCAAAACCATCTCAGGAATGCATCCTTTTCAGCATGGTGGTATGTCCATACTTTATTTAAGAAAATGAGGCATATGGTACATCCCAGAACCCTACTGTTTACAGAATATACTCCCTGTTATTCAAGCAAATGAAGGGGTGGGAAGCATGAATAACTTAAAAACACCAATCCAAGATATTTCATGGTTTTTCACTCCAGCAAATATTTAGTAACTCATGCTTGAGATATGCATAGAAGTGCATGAGTCTTCATGCAAAGTGGTCATTAAAACTGTCAAACTTAATGAAAACTGAAAGGCTCAAAAGCTTGTCATAAAATTCTCCAATACCAAATTTTGTGAAAATCTGTCCAGTGATTTTGGAGTTATTTTATGTGAACATGGATGGACTGAATGAACTTAATAGATAACCCAAAGGTTGTGAACACACCAAAAAGAGGCACTTAGGCAAGTCATAAACCAGATGGTATGAAAATGGTAATCAGGAATACACTATGCTGCGACCATGTATCAGTAACAAACCATAGTCTTCTTTAGCATGCAGTTTCTTATACAAAGAGAGTTACTTTCACAAACAATGTGTTCTACCATAAGGCCATTCAAAAAATGAGATGCAAAGGCCAACACAGTAATCCAGGGAACATACTTTGAAAAACAAATTCAAAATGGCAGAATGCATTTACATTTCTTCATCAATAAAATTCTCTGCAAATTTCATAGATGACTCAACAATATAGTGCAAAAAACCAAACTCTTTGAACATTCATGGGTTAAACCAGTTAAACCAGTGTGTGATATGACTGTATAACTCACTTCAGTTTGTCATCATTTGGAGTTGAGTTGTAACGTTTTGCTTTCTTCGTTAACCAATACTCTCGTTCCAATGTCCTGGGCATTTGTACTTTCCGCTTTCCAGTTGCAGGTACCAGTTGCTTGTCTTTACCTCGTTCAAAACCTGTGGAAGCTTCGTGATTGGTCAGCTGTTCTGGCTCTTGTGGTAACATACCTGCAGCTTCATGATCCACAGCCTTCATTCCAGCACCCTCATACACAATCAGTTCATGATCCTGTGAGAATGTAACGTAACATATTTAGAAGACTGGTTTTCTTTTTAAAATTCTTCTTCCTCTGGCACAATTAAATCAAATCAGATTTGAGATTCTCGCATAAAAATATTACGATTATGGGCTTCTGGGCTGTGAAAAATGTAGTCTGGTAGAGAGGCACCAATATTTCAGAGAAACCTGTCTCTTCAACTTGCAATGTTTTATAAGATTTTTATCCAATCTTATCTGCAGTTCATCAAGTTATCTCTATCTGTGCTTTCTACAAGCACTTGCTCCTTCCTTTCCACTACCACTTTGCCTACCTCAAATAAGAACTCCATACACCATACATAGTCTGACAATAAAGTTCGTGAACTGGGCTCAAAATCCGGTGTGCCGTCATGAGAATGTCAGAGTCTCTTGTTATACTTACCAAGAGTGGAAGTGAAATCAGGGAGGTGTTAATGCAAGTTTATGGGGATAATGCCATGAAGAAAACAGCAGTTTACAAGTGGGGACACGTTTTTCTGAGGGAAGAGAAAATGTCACTGATGAAGAGAGATAAGGACAACCAGCAATGAGCAGAACTGAAGAAAACATTGCAAAAGTTTGTCAAATTGTGCGTGAAAATTGTCAGGCACATAGCAGAGCAAGCAAACATCAACAGAGAAACAGTTAGGAAAATCTTAACTAAAGATCTTGACATGAGAAGGTGTGTGTGAAAAAGGGTCCCAAAAGAGCTCACCGAAGAAGACTGTCTGTGAGGGAGATCTTAGCTAGTAAGGAAATGACAGTGCTGGAACATCCTCCCTATTCATCCCCAGTGACTTTCTCCTGTTCCTGAAGATGAAGGAAATATTGAAAGGAACGCATTTTGATGACACTGATGACATCATGAGTAATTTGATGGCAGCTCTGAATGCCATTTCAGTTCCAAAATCCAGTTCCAAAATTGTTTTGAAGGGTGGACTAGGCGCTGGCATCGATGCATAGCTTCCCTAAGGGAGTACTTTGAAGGTGACCACTGTGATATTCAGCAACGAGGTATGTAGCACTTCACCACAACGAGTTCGCAAACTTTATTTTCAGACCACGTATACCTAAAACAACTACTGTTCCACCACTTAGCAAAAAGTGTTAACAGCATGGTGCTGCTGCTGGTGATGTCAGACATGAACAAAAGTAGTGGATCCTGCTACTTTAACAAGTGTCAGATAATTAATATTTCTGAGGCATTCTGCCTCCATCTTCATGGTAGATGGAGGAAGCAGGTTCATTAATAACCACCTATGAGATGACAAGATGTTATAACCAGTTGTAACTTAATATACATTAATCTCTACACACCTTGGCTTCAAACTGTGCCCAAAATGTGAACCCAAATCTCACTCTCAGAGTGAGTCTAATGCCTTAAATGCAATACTATTTAGTCACTTTTAGTGTCCTAAATTTAAATCAAATTCTTTAAATGACACAAAAGGAAATACGTCACTGCAAGAACGAAATGCGCCATTTCTGAGTGTTACCCGCATGCCTCCAGACTTGCAAAGCCGTACAGGAAGATAAGCTTCTGAAGAATATGCACCACACCAGAATTCATTACCTGCATCATGTGTTGCTTGCATGCCTCCAGACTTGCAAAGCCATTGTTACACTGGCCACACAGGAATATAAGTTTTTCACTCACAGGTTGTGGGTTACTACTGGCAACACCAGGGTCAACATGTTCTGTTGATGGATTGACATCTAGCTTCATCTGTTGGTAAGAAGAAAATGAGTAATGACACTGTTTCAGCTGCAGAGGCTATTTTGCATCATATAAAATGAGGGGATGATTACATTTGAACTTGAAATTGCTGGGAGGAAATGATCAAAATACTATCCCAGAATTTGCTTTCAAGGGTTGAGGAGGACAATGAAAGCCCCTGGTCAGATAGTCAACATCTCAGCGGCGATTCAAACTGGGCATCTTCTCAATAAAAGCTTGCTGCTTGACAGGAGGTTGGAGCCAACAGGGCTGTTTGAAGCTGAGTTTATGGTCATATAAGGTCAGCGTCTCTGGTTTGCTTGGTCTTGACAAAGCTCCATATCAATCATGTAATTTCCAGTTCCATAGTTACCAAGAAAAAGGATGAAATGGTGTCTACAGAGACTTCATACACATCAGAGATACTACTACTACTACTACTACCAGCACAAAACATTACTGGATAACAGTCTTCAGTCTTCTACCCCAAATTACTTATGTGAAAACTTCCATACATGCCTCTAAACAGCTAACAGCTCTTAATATTTAATGTGAGGCATTTAAATCTTGATTTACAGCATGACAGTCTGATTTTCAAAAGCAAAATCTCATAGAATAAACTGTTATCAACAGGCGCAGAGCAAAATCACAGAAATACCTTCTGAATCCAGTATAAAGCCTTCAACAAGACACAGATCATTTTAATTTAATTAAACTATATTACATGATACAGGTATTATAATTATTATTTAATAACTATATAACAATTTTAGCAATGGTTCTTCTCATTAGTCACTAAAATACATTGTGTAGGGCAGACAGTGTATCAAATGGACATTAGAGGCTAAAGATAACACTGGGATTGGAGAAGTATCACACTGTATGGTATGTCCACCAAGTTTGTGGAATATCATACTGTTATATGCTGTCACTACAGGCAGATACTGTATTCACTCATGTCCACCTCGATTTTTGGAGTACAACTGAGGGCAGTGAAATTGGTTACAGACAGCACACATTTCTTGGAGAATTACCTTTTCATTATGAAAGTGTCAAGAATAAAGAAATATCAATGAAATAAAATATGTGTGTGTGTGTGTATATATATTAAAACTGTTTATAACAGTGCCATTCAGTAAATAAATGCATAATATGGCTTAAAAATGTCGGACACTGGTAGCTAAAAAGTTGCAGTCACTCAATTGGAGTCATGATAAAGAACCTACATTGAAGAAAACTCACAATCTTGAATTTAGCACAAGAGAAAAATGATAAAACAGTACAGCCTCATGCACTACTCTCACTTCTCTGCTGACCATAAATAATCTCGATCTCTCTCTTATCTGGGCAAGTTTACAATAACTTGTAGAATAAAAAAAGTACCCCTTTCAACTGTGCATGTGTACAACTGACTGCCATGATGTGACAACATAAGTCAAATGCATATCTAATACCAGGCACACAACTGAAAAAGAGGACAGGATGTGTATATCATATATCACAAGGAAGTAATTATTGATACTTGAATATCAAGCTACCTGTTAAAAAATGAAAATCCCCTTTACGAGGAACATCTCAAATCTTCAAACACTAACTTCAGGATAATGGTGCACATGGTACACAAGTAAATAAGTATCTCGAACAGTTTTGGGCTACAGGAAATACAGGGAAAGCATGAAAATGTTATAGTATTGTCACGTGTTGGGTGTATGTCATGCTACAAATAACTTCACGCCGTACTGAATACAGTGAATTTATTCTGCATTTGCTCGTACATTCATACAATTCACAATTACACAATTACTGTCGATGGCATTATCACAATTACTTCTCCTGCTTCCATTCACCCCAACGAATGCTAGACTGCAACTGGCTGGTTACTCTCTCTCTAGTAACTGGCTCAATAGTCACTACTCACTACTCTAGTAGCTTCCGCACTGACAACACAGAAAACAGTTACGCGATAGCTACCACTGTTGCGTAACGTCATGTTTACAGGCATTGCTGGGGAATGCTGCCGAGAGTTGTTTATTGCTGCGTAGTAACTGCGGTGTCCCCTGTTACGTCACAAGGTGAAGTACTCGTACTGTTAACATCACCACTGGAGGCGACAGAGTGTTTACTGGCCTGTTACTGTAGCAGCAGCAGTTGCTCCGATGCTGTTACGTCACCGCGGAGGGGGGGTGTTTACCGAGCGTTGCGCCATCCACGTCACACTGCTCCTTTCTAAAGGTTGTTTATCACGAACAGCCTAATGGTACATCCCCATTCCTTTATCTTCCCTTTGGTGTTCATCTTCAGGGAGCTACCTCCGGCCCATCTCTTCAAGGTGCTCGTCCCGAGCAGCTCCATGGTCCAGCGGTTGTCGATTCCTTTGTCTCACATTCATTTGTCGCTCATTCACTCCTCATTCACCGGTGCTTCTACATTACCGGGTCCTCCTCTGTGCTATTCCATTTTTTTCCCTTTCGGAGGGGGTCAACCCCTCCACAGTGTCCAATCCTTGCCTTGTCGTAGGCTGACAGAATATCCAACTACTCGTTTCGCGATCTTCATGCTGAAAATCTAGTAGGTCTTCTTACGAGTTCTTCTCCCTCTTAGGTGTGATCGCTGTCCTGATCTACACCCTCCAATGGCATCCTTGGTTGGCACATTTTTCTTCTGGCATACTGGCCATCTATGTTTTTTATTCCCGTTCTTCCTTTCCAGGTTGCTTGTTCAGCATTGACCCTGGTTGAATATTTCTTTACGAAATCTCCCTTGTGTCGTGTCACACCTGCATGGCCAGTCATATTTCTGTTGGCAGCCAATTCATGCTGCGATCCACTTTTCTTGGGTCGTAGATTTCCTGAAGATGTTCCTTTTGTGTCATGCCACTGTTGCATGGCAGGACACCTTCTTGTCGTTTTTCTTAGTCTGCCGTGTCACTTTCACACGGTGACTTGTCCCTCTTCTGGTAACAGCCAGTCCTTTTCTTTGGCACCCATCCTGACACTGGGTCCGTTCAATCATCAGGCGGCAGAGCCCATGGCCAGTTTTCGGTCCTTACGACTTTTCTTCTTCGGTTCTCCGATAGGAATTACTTTGGCGTCTTTTATGGGGACCTCTCTGTTTTGCCGCCTCAGGTTTCATGTCCACTGAGGCTGGCTCTTCTTCTGCTAGATGTGCCTCCATCTCTTGGCAGGCCATTGTCTCTTCTTCTTCTAGACATGTACATGGTCAGCTTCATGACCCTACCATTTTAACCCCAGGGAAACAGTCCTTGGTACCCACTGTGGCTGGGTGGGCCCAAGAGCCAACCTGGACATTGTGGAGGAGAGAAAAATCTCCTGCCTCTACTGGGAATCAAACCCCAGATCCTTAGTTGTTCAGCCTATAGCCTAGGCACAATACCAACTGAGCTATCCTGGCTCCAAAATTACATGATAAGCACCATAAAAAGCACAAGACACATATTTTCTCTTCAGTTACATTGTGCAACCCTTGTTTTCTCCTTAATGAAAAGGTGGGTGAATGCAGTGCTACGTGCAAGTTACAGAAATGTTACCCACGATTTTCTTTGAAAAAATGTTAGATATTTCTGAAAAATATGAAATGTGTAACACGTCAAAAATTTTGATGTGGATGGTGGCAAGCATGCAGCTGTTGGTTAATTAAACACCAAATGTCATTCAGCAGTGTTCAACAGAATGTCACATCATGCACTGATGGACTGAAAACCCATCATGTCATATCCAGTTGGCTATCTTCTGGCTCATTATTATAAGGTGTGGCTAGAAGTTTCCATGTCACACCTAAAACTGTCAGTGCATGTCGTAATGTGTTCATCTATCACTTGAGCTTTCATGTATTCTTGTGCATTTGTTTTGCCTTTCACAACACTGAATTAAATTAAAGTGCTTCATTCTTCAGTGATGTTAACATGACTAATAATCGTTTTGAACAGTGTATCAAACTCTTGGCCATCTCTGTGGTCTAGTAGTCATAGTTCCTGGCTACAGATTCAGAGGTCCCGGGTTCGATTCCCAGCGCTACCAGATTTTCTGAGAAGTAGTGGGTCTGGAACGGGTTTCACTCAGCCTCATGAGGATAACTGAGGAGCTATTTGAATGGAAAAGTAGTGGCTCCAGTCTAGAAAACCGAGATTAACAACTGTGGGAATCTGTTGCGCTCACCATGCAACACTAACTTTGCCATCAAGCAGTAGTCATTTGGTAGGTACAGTTTGCTTGCAGACTAAAAGCCACGGAGTTTTAGTGTATCAAACTCAAATTTCTAGAAAAAACTGAAGCATACAGCCACCAAATGTTACATATTGCTAGAAGAAGTTTACGGGAAGTCTGAAATATCGACGGGACAAGTTTTCAAGGGGCACATAGGATTTTCTGAGAAAAGAGATGACACCCATAATTATCTTTGACTGGGACAGCTGACAACAGCAAAAAACAGTGAAAATGTCAAAAAAGTGTGGCAACTTGTTCATACTCACTGAAGAATGACTATCAGAATATAGCAGAACTGGAGACGGATAAACGGAATATTTCACCAAACTGTAACTATCAAGACAACGAACCAGCAAACACAGCAGTATTGAGGAGGTATTTTCTGATGAAGAAATGGCTCCTTCTAATGGAATGACCTCCCTGTTATCCCAAATGGGATCCACATGACTTCCTTCTATTCCCATCTATGAAACATTTGCTGAAAGAGATATATTTTGGGTCACTGGAGCAGGTCCAGCAGCATAATTCACACACTATAAGTCATATCAGAAGATTTCCAAATGTGGCAGAAAAGAAGAGCTTTATGCATGACCAGCCATAGGAACTAATTTAAATGTGACCACAGCAATTAACTGATAAGTTGGTTTTAAGTTGAAGAAAGCAGTCTTCTGGGATTTGGCACCGTGTATATGTGGTGTTAACTGACGTTTCGGAGCAGACACAGTCTGCTTTTACCGGTTCTCACGGTCTCTTCACTAGCAGATTTCTTATATTTTTTCTTCTACCCTGAAGATGGAGGCAATACGTTCCTCCGAAACGTCGGTTAACACCACATATACACGGTGCCAAATCCCAGAAGACTGCTTTCTTCATAGTCACCGCCGTGAAAGCCTCAAATCTTACATGGTTTTATGTTACTCATAAAATCACTCCTGGAACTTTCTGGTCACACTCAGTATGCTAACTTCTCATTCTTTCCCTCAAAAATGGTAGGTGATATAAATTTTTCAAGCAGAAGATTAAAATTCATTATAATCATCTCTCTTTCATAAGAAAAGAAGTTGTGCATTTTGTTGTACAGTGTAAATAGTCCAGCTACTAATTACTAGGATGCTTACAAAGCCACATCGAAACTTCAGCTCTGTTCCAAGAATTCAAACCTGCATGTGATGAAGCCTGAAGTGCTGCAACAGTTCCTGCTGCTCAGGCGTTGTAAAGGGGCAAATGCGACATTTATAAGACGTCACAAGTTCCACAAAATCTTCCAGTTTTTCTAGCGTCACATTCTCCTCTGTCAGGCTTTTCTCAACTTTCAAAACTTTCTGCTGGTTGTTCAACTCATTTACAAACTGAAATATATAAAAAGATCAACATACATTAATAAATCACATCAATCACCATAAAAATAATATAAAGTTTTGTCTACATGCAATATTAAAAGACTGTGTTTATACACCATACAAGTATTATCAATATGACTTTGGTACAGGTGAAGAGTAGATGCCTGATACAGTAAGAGAAATTGCTTTAAAACTTGTTTCATAGAACAGCTGCATCTGGAAGGCCTTTCAGAAGTGGTGAATTACAAGATTCCTGAAAACTGGAACATTTATTCATAAATATTTTCCAAAACTATCAACTTTTATAGAAATATTTCATTAAATGAAGTAATTCTGGAACTATAAATTTAACTTCAACATCCTTCAGAATTGTTCAGCTCATAAACTGTCTACAGTTTAATCATAATGTCTACAAACTGTATATAAACAATCCATCAGTGACAGGTGACAGCAGGGTTCTGATGATGGTTCATAACAAACAGAATGAGTATTTGGACTTGTATGTCATCTAAGGCTATTCTGTAATATAAGCTGATTTAAAAAGAATGGGAAAATTTTAAAGAAAGTTGTGGCACAGGCTCCAGCACTAGGTCAAAGTATTTGCTCACCTGTGGACCACCTGGTATTGCTACATCTCTCTTTCCTTGTGTCTGATCAGTCTTGACACTTGTAACTTCAGGGGGTTTGTCTGACAGAAGAAAACTGTTGGTCTCCATTGTCTGATCCAGAAGTTGTGTCTCCAAGATCCCAGTGCCTGCTATCATAAACATGAAATTACAATTGTGAAGACCAAACTACCATTCCAACATTCTGTTAATTTACCACATTCAGCTATCCTCCAATGCTACCTCAGACAGGTGTCCACTGAAGTTGGATGATGGATAGGTTGACACTTGACTCTCAGGAGACATGTCAATAACTTTAATCCAAGATAAACAAGCAAGAGAGCAAATACTGTGGAATACAGCTTAAGCGGTTAGTCGCTGACTTCCCACCGAGGCGGTCTGGTCCAGTGGGATTTGTGATGGACAAAGTGGCACTGGGGCAGGTTTTCTCCGAGTACTTCGGTTTCCCCTGCCAATCTTCATTCCATCAAACTCTCCATAACCATAACCACCCAGGATATATAACATTCGAATCATAATTTTATTATCTTTGTATACTATTATATCATTGTGTTATATATTGTATTATTATTATTATTATTATTATTATTACTATTATTATTATTACTTATTGTATTGTAAAGTATTTGACTTGTCCTATATCATGTACAATGATCCATGGATATGATATGAAATAAATAAATAAGTTCTAAAAGTTTGTGACTATGGTCTATTGCTACAAGTGTTATGTTTTTGGACATTATCCATCATCTTGTCTATTTTCTAAAAACTGTCCTGTTTCTTTTTTAAAACACAACATTTCGGAGACTGGATTCTGTCCCCGTCCTGAGGTAAAACCTACTCAGTTGGGTCCAATAGATAGAGCTGTATAAAACACACTGCATGTCGCAGTGCAGTGTACTGATGTTGGAAACACATGACAAGAAAGGCAAACCATACAGAGGCCTGCTCCAAGAGGCTATCTGTGTTCTGCCTTGTTTCAACGTTCACTCCTCATGCCATCATGTACTACTCCTCTAGAGGCTCTCTAGTCCACAGTGAAGAATGACCCCAACTCTGAACGCTACAGCAATGGTTGTTTCAACCAAGAGAATAAAAGTGGGCACAAAAAAGCAACACATCCTGATTCAGGTCATTAACTAGGGACATGTGGTAGCATAGTTGGAGGTACTATGATACAAGGCAGAAGGTCACGGGTTCAAGTCCCGATGTAGTCACTGGATTTTTTTCAATTGACCTAATCCTTTTAGCCACACTATGGCCCTCGGGTCGATTCAGCCTCTAACAGAAATGAGTACCAGGAATATTCTTGGAATATTCTTGGGGGCAAAGGACAGCCAGTATGTAGGGCCAACAACCTTGCTGCCATCTATGGTCAGATTGTCTAGAAAATGTGGGGACCTCAATATCTCACAACCATATGGGCCTCCACGGCTTGTTACAGGGATACCTTTACTTTTTTACTTACTTACCTGCCAATTAACTACAGTAACTCAAAATGAAGATGAGTTCCCTTTTGATAAGCAGTTAGTGAAGACATTGTCAGCTTTTTATGAGAGTCAAAATTTGTGAATGAATTCACAACAGCCTACCACTAAGCACTATCCTCTGCCAATTGAATCAAACTCACGCCCTCACACACTATTTATTTTCTATCATTTTACTGTTACCTTCCCATCTAGCTCCAAGCCTATTAAGTTGCTCCTTTCCTTTCAGTTTTCCAATTAACATCCTCTGTGACTTATTTGTATTTGCGCATTTGGATATGATGGCAACAAAGTAAATGTAGTTATTTATTTATGTTTGGTCTATTTAATGGTGATTTCAATAGCTAAGATTATATCCTTATTATCAACTGATAGAATCATCACACTATGTCTAAAATATCTTTTTCATTACATGTCATACCTTCAGAAGAAACATCCCATGTGTTCAATAACATCTCTGGTATGGTGATCAAGATTCTAACTGTATGCTGAAAATAGAATCTAGTAACTTTCTAATAATGATGTAAGGATCTACATCACTGTATAATTATGATGCACACTCAAAGATGCAGGTTTGTGAATAATAAATTGGAAAGACTGTGTGAAAGAAGAAGCCATTGCCTAATTTAAGATACTATCCTGTTATATTCCTAGCAGTACCAGGGAAAGGATTAAAAGCTTGAGTCAAGGTAACTGGACTCTGGATTGAGATTTCAAGCCACCTGAGTGCTAACCATTCATGACATCTGTTAAAAAAATGTAAGGTCATGATGACAGATAGTTACTTCAGTACCATTATAAGTGATCTGTCCATCCTCCAAAAATAACAGTGGCACTTCTTCATCACAATCTAATTCTTCTGCTCCTTTGCCTTGCGCGACGGATTGGTGAACCAATACATGAGTTCCATTCGAGAGCCGGTAGGTAAACACCGAACCCTCTGGTACTTCCACCTCATTCATCAAATTCTGCAAATTAATTACAATAATTAGATACTAAATATCATTTTAACCATAAGCTACATTTCCATCCACAATGAAAATGTTACATTAAATTTGCACTGAACATGAGAATATACTACGATAACATTTTGTTGTATATAATCACATACCTAAGTTTTTACATTTGTAATTTACCTGGATATAAAACGGACTGCCTGAAAATATATCCGAACATCATACATCTTGAAGGTTCAACAGTTGCACTTCTACATCTCCATCTTGTTTCCGCCATGACCAACTGTAACATGCTGAGACATGACCAACACGATATAAATCATATAGATTATATATTTTGGCGATAGAACCGCAAATGAAGGTTATAGCGGTTACTGCACAGCTGCACAGCTTGTGTCGCTTAGCTATCCTTCGGTATCTGACGATGGTGTCATCAATGAAAAATAAGCTGAAGATTAACTGTAGTTCAATGTTTACCATAGTGTGGTTGTTGTTTAAATATCTCTGACGTCTCTGACCAAGCGAGTGGTCGTTGGCCTAATGGTGTGTTTATTCGATTCGGTTCTAGTTAATTGGTATATTTTTAATCAGTGTCCGGTTGTAGATTCTGAAGGGTTCTGACGATCGTGTATAATAGTCAGAATTACAGGATTTTTTTACTTTGTTCATCGTCCGGCATTCTGGAAATTACAAAACATAACTTTCCGGAAACTGTATCTGTTTCCGTCCCCGGGGGGGGGGGAACTAACCTTGAAGGTTAGCTTTGTTTCCGAAACGTTGTTTTTCTAGATTCCAGAACACCGGACGATGGACAGAGTCCAGAAACCTATTAATTCTGAGTGTCCGGTTGTGTTCTGCATTGTTTATAATGTTTGCAAAAAATTATTTTTATTAGTAATGATTGTAATCCATATTTATATTTTTATTGCTTCAAGAAATCAACATTTTGCAATACAGCCTCCAGATATAGAACAAGTCAAATTATTTGTATAAAAGTCAACAATACCATAATATTTAACTACACGTGGTGACAGTCATGCCTATGACCGCTCAGCTGACTAACTGCAGTTTCAGAGCAGTTGCACAAGTTAAGGCATAATCTGCTGCACAAGCCTTCATTGACAGGAAACTTCCATATACCTTGTATAAATGTAATTTAGTATACTGCAGTGACAAAGGATGCACAGAGTCCATAATGACCTGGATGCTGTGATAGCGCAGATATCCTCGTACTGAAACTACAGTGCAACAAACATAATGCCTACACAGAAAGACCAACCCCACCTTTGTCGAAGAGGCTTCATTTCAAAACATGTACATATATCTCTCTCTCTCTCTTGCCTGTTGTCATCTGTTGCCTACTTTGGAGCATAGGGAATCTGTGAAACGCTTCATTTCACTTTAGTTTCTTAATCCTAAGACAGTAGGACTTCTTGGATGGAGGATCAGCCTTGAGTAGGTTTTGAACCCACAATCCCAGTGTTCTAGCAGGCAAAGACAACTTATGCCTTAGACCGCATGGCCATTGTGATGGGCATGTACATGTATCTCAGGAGACTGAAGACAGGTTCAAATGCCTCCACCATAGCCCTGCAGGTCATAGGGGGTGACGAAAAAGGAATCCAATGCCTGAGGGTATAACTGGGCCACCCTGTTTCTAGGGGATAAATATGTGGACCTGGCCCTCCAGGATGGTGGGGGGGGGGCTTGAATCTGAGACAGTAAAATATGGTCGTGAGTCCTGCAAGACAAGGACCCAAGAGTTACTGTGCTGGTGAGGACCAGCAGCAATTGTGAATGACAGACCCATCCCCTTGTTAGAAAGGACACCCCACATTAACAAACCTGCAACTGTCTGACGGTAACAAAAACCTGGTCTTAGGCCCAAGATGGGGCTTGACACAAAGACAGACTGGTCAACTGACCATCAGTCATAACATAATTTTGACTTTGACCTCACAGAAGAATCCTGAGATGGCAGAAGAGTAGGAGGTTGGTGTGAGATGGCTGCCAGCCTGCAAGGATGTGAGCCTGAGAGCAGAGGAACGTCCACTGTTTGAAGACATTACCAAGCAGTGCAGTGAAGACCATGACTGAGAGAACACTAGTCTTTGTGTAATAGTGATCTGTAAAATGTAAACATGAGTTGAGTGTCCAATAAATCCAATTACCAATCTAAACCCTATCTACAGTCACAATTATGTGACAGTCTGCTTGGTACAGGTGAAATGATGTACTGTTTGAGAATTAGTCCACCAAATGGAGAACATACTGGGCTTTCATCTGTTTATGTAATTTAATGACTTGTTAGTAACTCAGATTACAGAGCATCAAATCATCAGATGATAATGAACCATGGAGTTGAGAGGACGTGGAAGTGATCATGGCTCAATTAGAAGTATTCTCCCAGAATTTATCTGGAGGGACTGAGGAAAATCACAAAACAGCCACATGGGATTTGAGGTTATCACAGCACTGGTTATGAAGAGTTTTATCTTCTGCGATATAATGCCATGTAGTCTGTTGAGAGTCAACTCTGCCTGCTACCTGCTTCATGCTGGTTTCTTGCTTGGCTCATTCTTTCAGTATGGACATGGAAGTAAGATCTTCCTCTGAAATGTCTATTCATTTTCAATGACTTTCACGTTATATCCCAGAAGATAGAACTCTTAAAAAAAATGTCAGAATAGCTATGTTCTGACTGAAACTGAGCAGGGCACTTCCCAAATACAATTAAGATGCATTACTGTTTGAGCCAGCTTTCTTAGTGTCTCTTTGTTAAAGGACGACTGCTTAATGTGAGTTTAGGAAACATTTTATTTCACTCACAAAAATCAGTTTACTCAAAACATACTAAAAGGACAGCATCCATATTCCTACAAAGGAAATCTTAAAGATTATTCTTTTGTTTCAAACCATGTGGTCAGTTTAAGAAAGAGTTACGGATTTTTTGAATGAACACTGTATTCACCGAAAATGAACTTTTTGTCACAAATATTATTTTATGAGTAAATATGTCTCAGTTGTTCATCCTCACAGTAACAGGAATGGGTATCACTGCTTATGAAAACTAAAATTCACTCTGTTCTGAATACATTGCTTAGTACAAACAAAACATTAAGATCTTTTAACATATTTAATAAATACATTCAGGGACATTAGAAGTGAAGAAGATTGTGGTTTTTGATTTGTTTTGTTCTGGTCCATCACACTAACAAATTACAAAGACAAAACAACTCTGTCCAGTGTGACTATTGAAGTTTTTGCTACTTGAAAACTTAACACCCTTACATGTTTCGGTCCCTATAGACCATCATCAGAGGGGCATCGATACTTTTTGGAAACTACTATCACAGTGGGTGTTTTGAGTGTTAAAATACATATGCATACAGTGTTTGTAATGCACAGTATATACAAAATCTGACTTTTCCACAACTACAGCAGCTTTCTTGGTATATTAAAGTTTTTAAAACTTCGTTATTTAAGTTAAAATTTATAAACCAAGTAGGTTCATGTCCCTTCTCCTATCGTCTTTCTTGATGGGGTCTGAACTTTTGCCGCCTGTCTATCTTGAGAAGGAGATTCTTGGTGTTGTCCTGTGTTTGTTCATGGCAGGTTGTGTTGTTTTTACTCTTTTAAAAATCATATGTCTATTTCAGCTCTAAAAGTAATCTATTATTCCTTTTTTCACTCCTTGATGATCTGTGGTGTCATCTTTTGGGGAAACTCATCTCATAGTACTGCTATCTTTCTTCTCCAAACAAAGGTTATCAGAGCGATGTTGGGATATGGCAATAGAGTTTCGTGTAGAAACGTATTTAAAGAGTTAAATATTTTATCATTTGCATCACAATATATATTTTTGTTGTTAGTATTTGTATTGCAAAATAAAGTTCTTTTTTCCATCAAAAATTGATTCTCATACTATTGATATTGATATTCATATTTATTTGCATTCATACTGTTACAACTGCAACACTTGAACAAGTCAACTCACTAAATACATCATTGTTAAAAGCTCTATAATCCTAGAATGTATTAGACTAAAAATAAAACTTTACTTGCATTACAACATCACTAAGAATTTTAAAAATATAACAATAACTACTACAATTCCCTTTTCTTCTCTCTCTCTCTCTTTTTTTTTTTTTTTTTTTTTTTTTTTTTTTTTTTTTTTTTTTTTTTAAAAAACTTTTTTTTTTTTCTCTTTCTTCCTCTTTTAAAAACTCTTTTTTTTTT